CTTATGAATATTAACCTTCCTTTTTCACAAAACTGGATGAATGATAATAAAAAAGTGAAATATTGGTTTATAAATTAGTGATCTGCATCGGGCCTAATTTGTCAAGCACGGCCCGGCCTTTTTTAAAAAAATTTACCGGCCCTAGCCCGAATTATTTTAAATATAGAAATTATAAAAAATTATAATTACCCAAAATAAAAGATATATGTCAATTAAATATTTTTTATTTTACACAAAAAATTCAACAAAAAATGATGATTTTAGATATATTTAAAAATTTTTACAAGACCCGACCCGGCCAGAATTTTTTTTAAAAATATTCAGCCGAACCCGATTTTTTTTAAAAAAATGGGCCCGGCGGTCTACTTTTACAGAATGACATTTCTTATTTTTTTACCGCAAATTTTTGAAATTAGAACCTCGAAGTGTATTTATCTTTTGAATGAAAAAAAAATAAAAGTTTTGTTGGAGTGTATTTCTTTTAAAAAAATTATTTTATTATAATTTTAATATTAATTTCCAGCCTTGTTAATTAATTTTTTTCCCTCATTTTGACTTATTATTTTATTGCAATTTAATTATGTAACGAAAAAGTTTTAATCGTTACATCTTTTAAATAACTGAATTTAATTAACCTAGAATTATCATTTAGTTATATAATTATATGATCAATGATTGCTATAATTATTATGGGAACTTTTACCTGTTTTTTTTATTGCGGGCAACACTTAGAAATTTGTTAATTTAGGAAATTATCGATTTTAAAATTTGAATTTTGTTATGAATATTTTTTTAAAGTATTTTCTATTATATTATCTACCAGCATATTAATAATTTTTTAGGTGTAAAACAAAGATTAAGGAAACGAAATATTAACTTTGTTTAGATTATTTCGAGACAGCATTTTCAAATATTTTCATGCCCGGTCAGGAATTATTTAAAAAAATATTATGAACGATTTTTACATATTTTTTCAAAGAATTTATACTTGAACCGTCCCTGAGTTTAAAACTCAGCATGGATTTTTACGATCAAATCATTTAGGTCTCTGTCTTTAGAAGTCTTCAATAAATTGACAGATGGGTGGGTTAATTTATCTTTAAAACAATGGGTGGACGGGTTAAAAAAAATTCAGGGCAAAATGAAACATTTTTATTTCATGATTTTGCATATTTTATAAGATTAAGTAAAAATATATTAAAATAAATGAGCGAGTTAAAAGGTTAAAACAACGGGCGGGCTTTCGGGTTAAGAACAGTTCTGGCTTATTTGTAATGACTATAGTTGACCGCTAACCAATGGCATATAATAATACCTAGACTAACGATATATTCATTAAAAGTGTACAACAATGTAAAACAGCTTAGTCCATTTTGGTTACGCATAGCATATATAAAAATTAAAAATTAAGGTAAGTGCCCCCCCCCCCCCATAGGAAAATCCTGGATACGCCATAATTACTACCTCACAATTATTCTACTATTCTCACAAGAAAATATGTATTTAGCAGACCAAATTGAAATAATTTAAAGTATTCTGGATCCTATACAGGTTGCCAAAATAGCGTAATATATGGTTTCCAGCTCATTTGTATTCAACGACACTATAAATGCATTATTGTGAATGTATCGTCTGGTATTATATGGCATTACCATAGCTCCATTTTTAGCTCCATGGCAAAACTAAATTTTTTTTAGCCTTATAGTTTTTTTAAAAAGATAGATCATCCTAGAAGCTAGGAAAAATGTTACCTCAATGTCAATGATTAGATCCTTTTTTTAACTTGCTTTTCCGATGTTACAGCAAAATATATACCAAATAGTGTGGTTAGGTATATGTTAGAAATATGTCTGATTTGGTTTAATTTACAGTTAAGCGCTTAAAAATTTGCCCGCCAAACATTGAGACTTGGGTTAATTTATTTCCACTTTCTTCTAAATTCAGATATATTTCCAAACAAAAAAACTCGAGGTTTAGGTCATAGTTGTTGTCTAAAATCCAAGTTTAACCATTTTTTAGCCTGAAAAAATCGGCACAAACAGCTAGTGTTGTTAAACGACTCATTTTGAGCCGATTTTTTAAAACGGCTAACTCAATATTTTAGCCAGAAAAATATTGCATAAGCCTGGAGATTTCGATAATATATGTCTAGTCATTTGTTCCTTCCATGAGCAAAATCTTCAGGTTTGCTTAATATTTTTCTGGATGAAATATTGAGTTATCCGTTTTTAACGAGCCGTTTAACAAAAACAGCTGTAAAAAATAGAGAAATCACCTACTATAATAAAAATAGCGTTGAATACTTTTTTTAAATAATCGAAAATCCCTTTTGTTATTATTTATTCATTTGATATTTTACAAAATTTAAAACTTACTCATTCCTCTCCACTTGACAATTTCCCAATTATTGATAATAAAGGATTATTTTTTTTTAAATATGCCTAATTTCGTTTCCGTTTAAATATTTTCTTATTTTCATGCACTTATTTGTGTGCTTTTTTTTAAAAAAAAGTACTAATTGAAAATGAATTATAAATATCCTCATTTTTTTTGTTATAAATTATAATATTATTATATTTTTATAAGAATAAATTTTAATTTTAAATAACTTATTAGGTTTTTCGAGGTTGATTTAAAAAAAAATTTGATAATAAATAAATGTAACCTTTTTTTTGACAAAAATGGAGATGAAAAGTGAAAAGTAGGTTATTTATGTTTTAAAATTAAAATTCTTCAATTAATGGTAAGGAGTTTATGTTCTGATTTAAAGGCCCTAATCATAGTATCACATGACATTGGAATAAATAATTATTTCCCTTTTTTTGACATTTCATTTTATAATAATTAACTTAAATTTTATAAATATCAGGGTTTTCTAATTGCTGATTTTTTTTTGCATATAATTAAATATGACAGACACGTTATGCTGTATATTATAATCAATTAGAAATCATATTTTAAAATTTTTTAATAAACTCTAATTTTGTGCTTTTAACTGTTATTTTAAAACTTTATGACAGTTTTTGCCAAGAGAGTCAAAATAAACTGCTAAAAATTATTTTAAAATATCACAATATGAATATAAAAAAAATATATACAAATAAAGTTGACGATGTAGAATGTTTATCTAAGGTTCAGATATAATAATATAATTTTTAATTAATTAAAGATGATGCATAAAAAAGTGTTCATGTGTTTAATATATCAATGGAAAAAAGTTGCACGCATAATTAAGCGGCGTCTATGCGAACTTAATCCCCCAAAAACCATTAATATATACTTTACATAAAAAATATTAAACTACTAAAAGATGGATACAAATGAAAGAATTTAATAAAAAAAATTTAAAACGATTGGACTTGTCCTATGAAGGGTTAATTGTTAACCGTAAATGTATTTTTTGTTGAAAAAATAGATATGTGCATGAAATTATATACTGGTTCCATTATTAGATTTTTTTTTCTTATCGGCGGATAAATATCTTTTTATTCTCTAGTATCGGTGAAATAAAGTTTTTTTCGTCACAAAAATTTCTTTATTTTTCCTTTTCAAAAATATCTAACCTGTTTATTGCCTAGTTAAAGATAAAAATTTAGGGTGTTAATCATCATTCGATTAAAAAAGGATATACAAAATGATTGCTTAACCTAATTATCTTGACCCTTCTCTTTTTGGAAGGTCAGATTAAGAGTTTTTTATTTCACCAAGATTTCCCATTTTAGCAAAATTTTGAAGTTCGTTATTTTTGGCCTAAATCTTGATTTCTCTATTTTTTTACAAATCAAAATTGTATTACTTCGAATTTCGATTGAAGTCTCTAAATAACTGATTCATTTCATTACCCATTCTAACCTTTTTTTTTAAACTTGAGATTTTTTTTAGCTCTAGTCATCCATAACTCCGAACCAAAGTTTTAAATTATCGAGATTTTTTTAAACCGATTTCGATCAATTTTTACCTAAAATTTCAAATCTTTTTTTGTAAAAACTCTTTCATATGTAAATATTTTCTAATTTTCATGCATAAAATAACTTTCAATTTTGTGATCTTCAAAGATTTTTTGCTCAAAATTTTTTTTTCACAAAACTTAAAAACTCAGGTATTGGGAGGCAAGTTACAAAATATAAATTTAATTTAAATATTATAACAATTTGATATAATTTATAATATAATGCCACTTATGATCATCATATTAACAATTTCTAAATTTAAAATGGCATGTCAATTTAATATATTTAAAAAAATTCCCTCTCTTGTAAAATTTTAAAAGTATTATAATTTATTACTAACGAGACTACCATACCAATTAGTTACAAAGGATAAAAAAATTAAATAGTATTTTTAGATGCAATATTGATTTTATTAAACTTTTATTTTATTTTTTCTTTCAGAGTTGGTTTAATTTTGTTTCTAACAATCTTTTATACAACTAAAACTTAGGCCTTTTTGTTCAAACGATGATCGAAATCACAACGAATTCTTCACATCGAAAATCATTTTTGAAATATACGTCGCAATATATGTTTTTCATCATAGCGTTTTATCGTTTCGCTCCTTATTTTTAAATTATACCTATTTATTGGCTTAATTTTGTAAATAAGGCGGTGTTAAATACCCCACCGCTGAAACAAAATGCGTTTACTATAAATGCGACGTTAAATTACTCGCGAAGAATGTTCTAGATTAAAAAGCATTATAAAATTATGTTTATAGTAATTATCCGAACTTCCCTTAAAATAATTATTTGATTTGCCGGTTAAAAATGTTTTTTTTCCTAAAAGAATTGTTTTTTATTAAATGCATTTATATAATTATTTGCTTATTTTATTTTATTACAATTAACACTTAAAATATAAACCTTTTCTAAAAAAGCCGCACACAATCGAATTTTTTTCCCTTTCAAGCATTTAAAATTTATAATTTACTTAGAAAGAAAGAAAGAAAAAAGAAAGAATTTTTTTAAAATCATTTTATATTTTTTATGGCAATTTTTTTTTTAGATTACCCGAATCCTTTACGATGCTGAAAAATATTACACATTTAAGCCTCAACGACATATCCTTAATCCGCTTGCCTAACGATATTGGAGAGTAAGTTTTCCTTAAATTTTCATCCACCCTGTTTATCAAAATATTATTAGAGACCATCAGAGACTATCTCTTACCGGGCCGTCCTCAATTATGAACCAGGGCACCCCTCTGCAGGTCTTGCACATCTCTAGGAGAAAATAAATATGCATATCACGTGTTGTTTTTTATTTTTTTGTTACATGAAATAGTTTGACGAATTTGGTTTCCTTGGAAGTCCGTGATAACATGCTCCACAATCTTCCACCTTCGATGCTCACTTTACCTAAATTGGAACGGCTTGATTTGGGAAATAACGAAATATCAATTCTGGTAATTACCAATCATACCCTTACCCTCCCATCCATAACCTAAAAAATGAAGTTTATTAAATCCTAGGCCACTTTTAAATCATACACTTATCTTTATACTTCTTCTTTAATGAATTTGCAATAATCCTCTTAATGTTTGACAATCAGTTTAGAACGTTGGAAAAAAAATGCGGAAAGCGGAGAAACGTTATAAACCTGGAATGTCAGATGTTTTTTTTAAAGAGAAAATAAAGAGAGGATAAAATTAATTCAAGTTTTTAAAATTTAATAGATTTATTGATTTTTAAACGTTAGGATCTTTTTATTTAAAACCTTTTTTTTAATGCAAATGATTAAATTTCATTTTTAACGGAACAATAATATAATTATATTATAAATATATTCTATAATATATATATATTTTTTTTAAAAAATAATTTAAATTTGTCTCGAAACGTTGATAATTTATGATATGTTTTATTACTTTTTTAGGAGACCTTCAAAATTTGTATTAAATTTGGCTTTAATAAAGGATATAATAAATATTATTTAAACTTATTTCTAAAGGATTTTTCAATATTAGATTTCATAGCTAATTAATTGATAAATACAATTTAATATATAATTATATATACATAATCTAGAATTTGAAATGGAATAATAATATTATTTAAACGTATTTCTTTAAAAAGGATGTTAATTGAAAAAAATTAAATATATATAATCTAAAGTTTGAAATGCTTTTCAAAATAAAAATATCCTCAAAGATTTTTGATCTGAAGATTTTTCTGAAAATTCTCCAATAAGATATTTAATAAAATTTTACCAAAAATTCCAAATATTTTTTTTGTAATATTGCATAAAAATTTTTTAATCTTTATTTTATAATCTTCCAAATGTTTATTGCTCAAAATTTTGGCCTCTTTTTCTTCCAACCCTGATAAAATCGAACATTAAATATGAAGAGTGCCAAAAGGAGATCTACTCACCTTTAGTGGAAAGATCGCACTCATAATAGCGGTACACCCCCCCCCCACCACCCGCCAATTAAATTAGCATAACCAGCTTAGGGAATCATTATGTACGAGGACGTTTCTTTTTCGGAGTAATATAATGGATTATGATTTGGGATTATCCATAATTTCTTGTTAGGTATTATAATTATAGGATAGAAAAGGCTATGCTGAAACATCTATTCCATGAACGTCTATAATCTCTTTTAATTCATCTCTATTTAAGAAATTTTCTATTGCTTCATCTTCCATATAACAAAATCTGTATTATAGTAGAATTAAACATACATATAGAGCTCTCGACCTTTTTCAAAAAAAGGTATTTTACATTTCGCTTTGCATAGTATAGTCGTTTACATTCGCGTTACCATTCCTTTCCTTTTGAATAAATTCCTTTTATTTCATCAATCGGTATTAATATTTATTTTATTGCACCATGCCAACATTTTGAAATAAATTAATATTAGAACGGTTATTGTTTTTGAGATGGTTTATCTCCCAGCGACTCTTTTATTGTACTAAACAACCGTTCAATCAGTATGAGCAGAGTTATTAAAATATACTTTTTAAAGGGATCAAGATAAGATATACATCGTCTAAAAGCTTATCTAGACATAGATACAATTTTATAGCTGTATCTTGATACAGATTCAATTTTTATTATACTTATATACAGGGTTCGTCGTTGTTCTTGAACAGACTCTTATTATGAGAACACAAGATACGTAAACAACATTTTTATATTTTGTTAACATTCAATTCGAACAATATAAAAAAAATTATTAAAAATTTTAATACTCCTATTTTTATCATTCTCTCGAGCAGAATCTCATTAAAAAGAGTAATAATTTAAAAAAAAGTTTTTACATTATACTTATAATTTATTCATTAAAAGTTAGCTGAATATCTATAAAAAAATTTAAAAAAATTCTAAATAAATTTATTTGTGAAAAATTATTTTGTTTATCAATGGTATTGTTTTCAATAGTTAGTGGGTGTCTTGTCTAAGCAAGGATTTATATATTCCTTTACATAATAAAAATATCCTTCACAATTTTGAACTGTATAGATATAAATAGGAAACAGAATAATATTTATATCTTTTTTTTATATAAGTTTTAATATTATATATATTTTTATTATATTAGTCCAAATATGTTTTAATATATATTTATTTAAATTATATGCTCATATGAGATAAAAAAAAATGAATTTTGCATTCAAACATTAATATTTTAAAGATAAAAAACGTTAAATAAAAGTATATGTATCTTGAAAAGTATCTAATACAGATACCTATAAAATAATATCTAGATACAAATACTTTGAATAAAAGTGTATCTAGATACTGATACGGCATTTTTTTATCTAGATACTTTAACAACTTTGATGATGGGGATGGTATGGGCGTATTATATTTTATAAACATCAAAGTCAAAATGTATAAATGCGAGAATCATAAATATTTATTTTGGAAAATTTTTTGACTTTGGACATCCACTTAATGCTGAAAAATGTTAAGGTTTTAAAAATATATCTTTTTTCTACAAGAATTTTGAAATTTCATTATCCGATCAGATATATTTTCTTCCTTGAGAATGAGTTTTGGCATAATTTTTTTACGAGATACGCGATATAAAGCGCCTAGCCCTGTGCGTTATATTCATAGCAGTTATTTATACAACAGAGCTTGGTTCTCTCAGAGTGACACGTTTATGATTGAGAAACAGGGAAATGAATAATTTTTTTTAAGAATCGATATAATGAATCACATGGTTTGGTCTTTGTACATTTTTGCCATCCTCATCCATTCCTATTTGCGACATTTTTATATTTTTGATCAATATCTAGAATTAGATTTACACATTTTGAATATTATAAATTTATTAAAGTTCAGGTGTTTTAATACGTTTATAAAAATATTTTCCCATTTTTCTCGCGTTTTTTAGAAGAAAGATAAAATTGATAAAAATTAATTTTCTTATTTTTCATAACGGGATTGTAATATCCGATTTATAAATTTTGTATAAACCATCATTTTTTGAAATTTACCATATAAAACATTTTTCATTTAATCGTAATTTTGGCAGATTTAATAATGTTTCTTGAGGATTTTTTTTTTAAAATAAATATCTTTTAAGTTTTAGTATATTTATCAAGAATCCCTACTTTTTCCCGACTTCTAATAATAATGGATAAAAAACCAAAATATATATTTATTATTTTAGAAATATATTTAAATTTCAAGTAATAATTTGAAATTTATAATAAATAAACTAACTAGGAGATGCATCATATCATTCCATTTATTGAGGTCTTACAGTTTGAAAGTTGGTCTGGAATTAATTTTGATTATTACAATATTGCTGTCAATACACGCACCCATATTAAATAACTAAAATATCTGGCCGTCACTTTAGCTAAGTAGCTCTAGAGCAGAATTGAGAAATCATATACAAAACACGAGAGGATGGACCTTTTTTTTAAAAAAAATATCTTTCAAATTATAGCGTAATATCTAGTTTACCTCACGGCTACTTATATTTAATATACCTATTTTGATGGAAGACAAGAGAATACAGATCTTCATGAATATATGACAAAACGGCTTTCTTCTATCCTTTTTTAAAAATGAAGAAAATATTAAATTATGTACTCCAATTCATATTACTCTTAAAAAGAGGCTTATTAATTGAATTTATTTTTTATAGTAAATTTAGCTTTTTCTACTTCACATCACAGTGTTGGGAATTAAAATCCCTTAAGATAAGATATTGTCCTAAATTTAATTTCGCAAAAAAGTAGTTATTTCTTATGATTATTCCGTTAATTAGGATAATACAATTGACTTTATAAATAAACATTTATTCCTTATATAATTATATTTTTTTAATGAAAGCCCGAACAGTTAGTTCTACCAAGTTTGCAAGAATTATGGTTGGACGGCAACCAGCTGGCCTCCTTGCCATCTTCCATATGCAATTTAGCCAAATTAAGTTGCGTAGATCTATCCGAGAATCAATTAACCACTCTGCCCAACAAAATTGGGAAATTGGTCAATCTGACCGATTTGGATGCCAGTAAAAATGAGCTGATAGACATTCCCTCGTCTATAGGTTTTTAATAATGAAAACAATATACTTAAATATTTAGAAAATTCGTCATACATTTACTTATAAAAAATTATTGATTATCTAAAATATCAATTTTTTTTTCACCTTCTAAAAAGAAGTTCATTGAGGCCGTGTCCTGTGGTTTGTCTTATTTTTGAAATATGGCGAAACAAATTTTGAACTGGACACTCTATTTCGGTGTGTTTTAAGTTTGTGCATTTCAATAAATGTTTTTTGTTTAATGTATAATTTTTTTTCGGTAACAAAAAAACAAAGACGGGTGGTCATTTACATAAATCTAAATAGTTTATTTTTTAGGCTGTTTACAGGGTTGCAGTAACAAAGACCATGTGGTATTTTAAATAAGTTTGAATTTTAAGGCTGTAGGTCTGGCGAATACGGATTGCTTTAGGTGTATTTCGTCGATCGGGCTATTTCCCAGCCCTTTTTTTAGACCATCCTATTTTTTAAAATACATCTTCAGATAGTTCCCTCATTTTTGGAGAGACCGGGAAGCACATTTTCTATGATATCATTGATATTAAACGTTGTTATTACCTATTAAAAGATCTATCACGTATTTCTTTCGATTTCAAAGGCGTCTTTTTGCATCCCTTTTTTGAATTTGATATTGCTTCTAAGATCCCCCCCCCCCCATATATTCTGGGAAGATTTCTTGTTTTAATGTTTGCCTAAGCTATAGAAATATCGATATGTTTAGCAATATTTTTTATCTTTATTTTTTCCATTTCAGGCTGGGATAACAATTTGGTTATTATTTTGATTCTCTCCTTATTCCAACAATTATATTTTCTTACTGGGTTTTGAATCAGCTATTAGTTTAAAGGGTTTATTATTGTAGAATTAGTACTTATGTCAGATTGTGAAAGTGCTGGTTATTAAATTTTTCTTCTATTACATATAGACTGCTAAAGAGGGGGCTCTTTAGAAAAGACTCCTAAACAGTACGACTATTTAGAAATAAGATGAAATAAGACACGGCCTTAGAGATTATATATAAAATTAATCATATATAATTATGAGATGTTGTGATTGACGTTTTAGTGATTATTTTAAGCATCAGTGTAAATCAGATTATTAATTTTCGCAATGTTTGTGAATATAAAATTAAGATTATATATAAAATTAATCCTGATATCATTATTAAATATGTTCATATTAAATTCATGGTAGGCGAATTGAAAGATCTCACCATTTTGAAATTGGAACAAAATAAATTAACCACGCTGACGGAAGATATTGGAAAGTAATTCATTTAAACAAATGAATTAATGAAATCGTAATAATTTTTAAAAATAATAGTTGTCTAAATATCTTTAATAAATTACTGTAATCTAAATAAAACTTTCTGATATAATTAAAAATCAAACGAATGTTTTAAATAAAAATAGCTGCAAAAATCTCCAAGAATTAGTGTTGACAGAAAACTCCTTAACCCAAGTACCGGCTTCTATTGGTCATCTCAAACAACTCAACACCCTTAATATCGATAGGAATAAACTTTCTGAATTGCCCACTCAAGTAATACATTTCTAAAATGACATTAAGCCAATCTTTAATTTTAAACTTTCAACAAAATGTTTCTAGTTTTTTATATATTCAAGTATGTAAAGTGAAACATGTTACTTAGTATATATACTTATGGTTTTTATAACCATTTATTATACCTTATATTATATCAATACAAAACATATTTTTAAATAAACAGAAAAAAACTTTTTAATTAGTGTTTATATTGTTTTAAAAAAAAATTAGATCGGGGATTGCATTCGATTAACAGTTTTGTCTACCCGCGAAAATGAGTTAACTAAACTGCCCGAAAATATTGGGTCTCTCAAGAATTTGTTGGTCCTCAATCTCTCAGGAAATAAGTAATTAAAAATTTTTTTTTTATGATTTCAACATTCAATAAAAATAAGTTTATTTGTTAGTAAATTGTCTCAAATTGACCTCTGGGCATCTGGATAATCCTTATTTTCAGTGCTTTTCTAAATGTTTAAAATCTTGATTATTTTAACCTGACCTACATTTAAAATAATTTTGTCGGAATTATATAAATAGTTTCAAGGGGAAATATGAAAATATGTGAATGTTTATCGTTTATATATTTAAGAGGTCCAGGTTTGTAATATTGTTTTTAGTCCTACCTTTATTTTTTTAAAATCATACGATTTACATCCCAAATCAAGGGCAGAACCAATTGTTAGCTAAAAAAAGATCTCTCAAATACACATCCATTCTCCTCCACCTCTACGGTTGCCACGTCTTTAATTTTTGATTCCCCACTTTAAAACTTACTGCAAGTTCGAGGCACTATTAATATTTATTATTGGTTTATTATAATTCAAAATAACACAAAAAGACAGAAGAATATATAAAACAATTATGTATTTTCCTCTTTCTTTCTGGTTAATTTTAGAGCAAATTGTGACAAAATTTAATTTTAAAAACGATTATATATCTGAGTTTATCCTGATATTTTATTACATATAATAGATCCTATAAAGAAAATTATTCAATTTATTATTGGTTAAATTTAAGGAGATGTGAAGAATTTTTTTTAATTATATTAGTTTGCATAATAATAATTTATATTATAAAGTACTTCTAAGTCAATCCAGTATATCTAGTTTAGTCATAAGAAAAATAATAACAGATATTTTATTGTAATAAAATAAATGCATATTTAAATTAATAACTCTTCCCCTCTATTTATTTTTTTTCCAGGGCAATATTTATAAAACTAGATTTAAATCAAAAAAATTATTAAAAATTTTTTTTTAATATTAAAATCATGATTTTACCAACCCTACATACCTTCCCTTTAAATTATAGCTAATTGATAATGGCTTAAACCAATTCAAAATTATATTCCAATTTCCATCCTCTTCAAATAATAGTTTATGCTAAAAAAAATGTTATATTTTCTTTTAAGAATCAAAAACTTACCAATGTCCATAGCCAAACTAACGCTAAAGGCTTTGTGGCTTTCCGAAAATCAAAATCAACCCATGCTAAACCTGCAAACTGATATAGATGAGGCGACAGGCAGTAAAGTGCTTACATGTTACCTCCTACCACAGTCAAATTACTATCCCACCAATTTTGGTAACGGGATTATTGCTTGTTTAAATTTTTTTGAACCTTAAAATCTATCATAAAATATTTCAGAATGGTAGAGTCGTGTTTAATTGGTCGGATTTACTTTAACACATTTTTTTAGGGATGTACCGATATTTTATATAGGATCGGGCCGATATTTCGCCCATTTTAAAATATCGGTTATCGGCAAATATTATAAAATTTTCTGATCCGATATAAAATGGCGCTTTTAACAAAATTTAAAAAAAGTTATATCTAAAAATCCATTTATTTTTATAAATAAAATCGGAATATATTTTTATGCTTAATTATTTTAATAGTAATAATTAGTTAATAAACATTCTGCAATATAGTTATTTTTTTCGCATTCTGTTTAAAAAAGTGTTCATTAATCTCTTCAGAATCTGTTTTTAGTGATACTAGTGATATTAACAGTCCCCATCACGGCAGACCGATCTCTGATAAATTGGAAATTTTGGTATTTCTAAAAAGAAATCTTCGATAAATTAATTTTATATATAAATTTCAAATTTCAATATATTTGTTTATTACTAATTATGTAAATAGATTAATGTTATTACTTATTATATAAATAATTGCAATTGAATTGAATATAAACTATAACTGATCATTATAATATATTTAAATGCCATATGTTATGGTATAGTAAAATTATAGATGTTGTACTAATAAAAAGAATATTAAAAATTAAAACCGGTATCTTTACAGAATACAAAATTAGATATGATATCGGATCGATTATCGGCCGATATCAATTAAATATCGGATCGGATCGGCCTCCAAAAAGTGGTATCGGTACACCCCTACATTTTTTTGTTATAAATTTTTCCGATAAATATTAAGATACTGAAAATAATCACGATAATCCTTCCTCGAACCATGACAAATTTATGGAGAGAAATATCAAAAATATAAATTTAAACGAGTCCTTGAGAAGTAGCGTTTTCAGTGCTGGAACCGATGAAAATGACCAGAAATCTTTTCCTCCTAAAACCACCTTCAATCTTACTCCCAAAAAAGGTTTTCTTTTACAGATTGATCCTATTTTCGATATTCACAATAATTAAACGTAAAAAGAATTATATGCTCTAATATTAACTCTTTAATGGTATTTTATCTTTCAAAACCATTTTAAGATTGGTATTATATTTATGAAGATATAAGTTTAGCCTTTTCCCTAAAATATTACAGCCGAATAAGATATAATGACAACTGTAACTTATTCTTGACAAAGTTGCGGGTGGCCAAATAATTTGCAAATTATAATTTGTTTACTAAGGTGAATAATGATAAAACTTATTTTTGTTAGTTGATATAATTTAGAAATTGATTATTAAGGGAAAAATTTTAAGACTATGAAAAGAAGGGAGGGGAGGGATATCTTGTATAGATTGTGGTACAGTAACTAATATTAAAATAAAAAACTACCCGTGATCATTGATTGCTTAAATATATTTTGACAAAAGACGCTTATTTATATAGTAACAAAAACGATAAATAGAAAATGTTTAATTTTTCTTATTTTTAACTTATGCTCTTGTGAATCTTTTTTTTGTTTTTGAAATTTATACAGGAAAGTTTAAAAAAAATACATTTAATATTATAGCACAATCTTGTATACTTTTAAAATGACTGTCAAATTAAATTAACCTAAAAAAATATTTGTAAAACCATAGATGAAAATTCTTCTCTCTTAAATAATTCAACTGAGGATTCAGGAAAAGTTAGAAATTCTATCGTGAAATTCCAAGAAAGCGATTACGATAGCGAATATGAAGATAAAAAGGTTATACATTGCGTTTTAAAAAGTTTAATCTTACTTTTCTTATTTTTAATAATTTTTTTGTTCAATTTCTTGAAATTATAAAAAGTAGAGAGTTTTTGTAATAAACATCATATAATTACTTTACCTTTTTTTGTGGAAAAGTAAATTTTGTACATCAACTCAAAATTAAATTTTTTAAAAAAATTTCTCTATCAATTCAAATTGGGTTTTATTTTAAGAATGGGAGTATTTTTTCGAGTGTAATAAACAGAACGGGCTTATATTTATTGAATATTTTTTAAACAATGAGTAAAAAAATCTAAGGGTTAGCAGGCTAAAATAGCTCATTGCAGATCTTACATACGTGATATTTATTTGTCTCATTTTTAAAAACGAAAAAAAATAATCGTAACTGAAATTTTCATAAACAGTGTGGGGATTAACTTTATCGATAAATTTTTAATTTAGCTCAGTTTGTGATGGGGCCTAGTAAAATTCACAATTATTTGTAAAAAATTTTCATTATATATATATATATACATATTTAATAAAAATTTTAATATATATAATCTCCAATTCTTCTTGGAATTTTGCCAGTCTTTCTTTAAAAGACACGATACGCCTCATCCCAAAGAATTTAAATCTAGACATCCAAGATTATTTTTCGGCAAAAAATTGCAACAAAAAGAATCCTCTAAAAGCGCAGATTCTCAAGTTAAGAATAAACGGAAAGAAGACAAGGAACTTAAAATACAGGTTAGGTATTAATTAGTTTTATTTAATATTATGGATATTACAGACAAGCGAAGTTTGTTACAGCATGGATTAGAAGGCGCCATTTTTAATAAATGGTTACCTTAACAAAAAATTGTTTGCATTGCATTTTTTTTAAAATCCCCCCCCCCCTTAGTAAACTATGAAATTATCAACCAATACTAAACGATACCGCCATTATTGGCTCGGTATAATGAATATTGAATGTAGTACTTATAAATAACTACCCAATACATATTCATATGTTGGTAATATTTTACGAGTGAGGCTGTGCCGATTCACAAATTTTTCACCGATCCGATCCTATATTTTTCTATATTACTAAAAACCTATACCGATCTGATATTTATATTGATTTATATTTACTATCTATCTCCGAACTGATCCGTTTTTAAAATTTGGCTAAATCGAGTCCTTTAATAATACTAGCTATATATTTTAAAAGCTTTTTCTTGTTGTACAATTTTTAAATATTTTTTTTAAATATTCTATACAAAAGATAAATTGTATTTTCATTAATTTATTATTATTTATAATAAAAAAACATGTTCAATCATAAAATAACCAATAACAATTATAAATATCGGCAGGTCTGATATTTTTTGAAAACGCTAAATATCGCCACAGCCCTATTTAGTAAAAGAGTCGTTGACTCTAATTACGATTACAATGTCTAATTTCAGATCGTCCAAACTTTACAGTAAATAATCGGATAAACCTAGGTTTGATTTTTAATTATAGAATATTATCTCTTGATAATTTGTTAGCCAATTTTTTCGATATCCAACTGATGATTAGCCTTCTTTTAAGATGAGTCATTTGTAAAATAAATTCCAACATACAAAAGGCTAGAAAACTCAATGCCGAATTCGAAGGTAACCAGATACCCAATAACGTCAACAAGGAATATATTAAGCCTCACCCCGTCCCTAAAACAGCTGTCGACGTCAATACTTCAAATAGATTTCTAACCGAAGGTAACAAAGAAATTTGTTATGAATGTTTTTTTTGAAAAAAAAAATATATAGAGGTTTAAATCTTCAAACTATATTAAATAAATGAATATTTTGAGTTTGTGATTTATTACCCTTATGCACTCCTTTTTTTAAAAAAAGAAGTCGAACTGGGCCTGTGTTTCAAATTTTATTTTGCGTTTCGAACCAGAACTTGAAACGCTCGGAACCGTGTCAAATTTAGAAACGGAACTAAAACACATTTTTTTAAAAAATATTCAGAATAGGATCTTTTTCTATCAGGTCCCAAATTAATATGAAAATGACTTATAAATCGCGATTCCCCAGACCCCCTGGGATTCGGGGAAAATTTTGTATACAAAATCTCGATCTCGCTTAGAATTTTTAAGATTACACAAAACGTACCACCGATCTTATTAAATACCATTATTGCAGTGTTCAAATTTTAGCATTATTTCATATTTTTGGAGATATCATCAAAAGGGACGAAATAATTGGCAAATAACCTATATTTGCCCTTATCGATTGCCATTCAATTAAAGATTAACTAAAAATCACAGAATTTATGAATAATGATTCTAATAATAATAAAGATTTAGACATATTATTTTTATTTTTAATGTGAGGGTCCATTTAACCTTATAAAAACCTTCTAAGAAATAATAAGTTTCTCCAATTTTTATATAAATAAATGTCACCAAGATCATTCTATATCTGCATAAAAAAATGGAATGTAAAGTTTTCGCTTTCATTGGGAAATCAGAGATTCAAACCTTATTATTTACAGAACCGTTAAATTATGTGTCACCTGAATCTCTAAAAATGCCTGCGGACTTGTTTAACTTAATAATATTTTAACTTTAATAAATAGTAATTATTTTTAAGGCATGTTTTTTATATTTCTATTTGACGGTGCTGGCTACTCAAGTTATCATATCTAAATGTTCTCAGTTTTTCCACCTTACAGATATAATATGACAAGAGAATCTTGAAAATATTTTAATTGACGGCTCAACATTATTTTTTTAGAGAATAGTGATAAAAAATTTTTTTTTCTTTACCAAACTAGTATGCGAAAAGGTTTGAACCGGTTGATAAAGGTTTTAGGCCGAACCTATATTATTATTTTTAACGAATCCAACCCTGAACCGTTGTTTTTTTCTGAATCAAACCAATATTCTTTACAGTTTGGACCCTGAGGTAAATCGATAAAAACATTAAAATAAACAAAGGTTATTTTTTGTTCATTAGGTAATATAATATAATTAATTGTTTTAATATTATTTAGAAAGTATATATGATAGTTTTTATTTCAGTAATGAATCTTATAGTACATTATAAAAAAAATTAAGATTTAAAAAAATCTGAGGTTGGAAAGTTTGAAAAATATTTTTTGGAAAAATGATATAATACATATTATTTATTTTATTTTAAATATTTTCTTACCTATAAAAATTCAAATATTGCCTAAAATATTTATTGCTGTTACTATAATATGAATATTATATATATATATGCCTTTATATTTAGAACAATTAATTCTATATTATGTTTAAAAAAATATTCTTTGTTATTAGTGTTTTTTTTAAATTTCGGCATTAATTTATTTTAGAGGTAGGTCTTAATGACATTTGTTTAAAATTTATAAAAATCGGAAAAATTGATTATTTTTTTACAAGGATTTTATGCTTTTAAAGAAAAATGAAAATATTTTCAAAAAATAAGAATATCATTTTATTTTAATATTAGAATCCTTATTTATAGTGCTGTAAACATTTCTAAAAAAATCGAACGCGTTCAACGTTCATTGACAAAAATCAAACACGTTCAAGTTCATGTTCAAAAAAAATGAACGCGTTCACGTTCATATAACCGTTCAAAATTTTATGATATTATAAAAACTTATATTTTTAAGTACAATTTATTTTAGCCATGTTAAAAAATAATATAGTTTTATTTTGATAATATAATATAATATAGCGAATAAAAAGATATTTTTATTTATAAAAAATTTTTCTTATTAAATTTATAAACAATTGTTTTCAAAATATTTATCTGATAGACAGGAACACTTGGCAGTTAATACGGCATTAGCAAACCAAAAACGCGCTCTACATGGGCAGATGAGGGGATTGTGGTATTATACTTAATAAACAGCTCTTTTAACGTGGATAATTAATTAAAAATATATTGTTTTATTATTTGCAAAAAATTGAGATAAGTTATCCTCCTTTAATCCATTCTCTACTCTACAAAAAAAAAGGATATCTCGAAATTAACAGTTCTCTAGGGTTTTCATAGCAGTTTTTTCAATGACGCTATAAGTTTATTTTTAATAGGTTCGTTCTGTGGAAGTTTTATCCATGGCCATTGAAGTTTGAATGCTGGATGTACAATTTCAGAAAGAACATATTGATCCTTATATATATGTTCAAATCTTTAAAAAAATAAAATATAAGTAATAATTGAGAGTGATAGGTTTAATACCTTTTATTAATCCCATTTAATACGGCGTCTATCAATGGTTGACCAAATTTGAGGCCACTAATTTTTTTAATTTTAAAATAACTATCACTATTGTTGAAGTCAAATATCCCAAAAGTATTATTTCTTCAAATTTAATGATTTAACTTAGTTATATCATATAAAATCAAATAATTAATATTAAAATCAAATGTCGTTTTAAATTGGAACCTAAAGATTTTGACAATATAATACTTTTTGGTCACAATTTACACTTGGTAAGCATTGGATTAGTTTCTTCAATAGAGGATGTTAGTAAAACATTTATCATATTTGGACATAGTAATGATAATTCATCTGATTTTGGATTTTCAGAATCAGATGAGGAGGATTAAATAATAATATCCATGCTTATGCTAATCTATTAAATTAAAATATAAACAATAATATTTAAATTAATAAACTATGTGTTAAAAAAATTGAAATGTGAAAAGGAAATACACAGCCGATTAAAAAATATAAATAATACATTTTTTTAAAAAAATTCGGAAATATAAATTTTTCAAATAAATAAAATATTTTTAAAATTGAACGAACGTTAAATTCGAACGCGTTCGTCGTAGAAAAGGAAAGCGTTCACGTTCAAAGTTCGTCAAAAATAAAAGGAATGCCGTTCATCATTTTTTTTCAAAAAAAACGAACTTCGTTCCCGAACGCTTTCATTTTGAACGCGTTCGTTTACAGCACTACTTATTTATAATGATGTAGTTTCTAGTACTTAGTTATCTTTAATTGAACGACAATGGTAAACGTAAAAATAGGTTTTTTATTTTGACTCTTGATATCCCCCAAAATTATAAGAGCTAGAATGCTAAAATTTAAGAACGCTGTTGTTACATACATATACTTTAGTTTATATACAAAATGTTTGCCCATGACATACGGACATGAAATAATAGGACAAAATATAAAGAAATTATGTTTAACTTACTACAGAAGACCTAATCAAGGAAAACTCCCTCGTAAGAAACGCGGATCCGGCCAAATGGTCCCAGGCCTCTATAACCTCCTCTTCGTCCTCTACGAATTCTTCTTCCCCTCGCCTATTAAACCCCCACAATCCATCCCCGCAAAACGTCAAAAAACAAACTAAAAACGATAAAATGTCTCCCAATTCTAAATTTGTCGCCTTTTCTAATCTCTCTTCGACCCAATCTCGTGATTTGACAGATGGCGATAAAATGGTCTACGAGGAAGGGGAACCAGTTCTGAAACGCATAGACACTCCCCATCCCCTCAAGAATAAAAGAGTCAACGTGCCATTGAATCTGGAAGGAGGAGACAATTTAAAAATTAAAGTTTCAAATTTTTTTTACAGATTTAGATAAAAATCGAAAGGAAATAAATATTTATTAAATATGTTCCTAAGAATAAAATATTAAAGATTCATTGTTTTTATGGGATAGAAAAATTTTGATAACTTGTTACAACTAATTATTTAACCCTCTGTATTTTAAAATTTTATATTTAAGCAACGAGATAAGGTAATAGAAAAGATAATCGACTCGGAAAGACCTTTCATAGGTTGTCCCGATGTGCAGCAATTGGTTGAAAAAATAAACATAGAAGATAGACTTGCCTTTTTAAATCCTTACCAAATTTCGGAAACAGAAAAGGAGACCCTTAAAAGGAACTCTGTCCGGGAAGGTTCACAACTTAAAGAAATCTTTCATAAAGATTTCGATGTTGTCCATAACAACGCCCTAAGATTTGTCATCGATAGAGAGGACATAACTCTTAATGGATTCGGGTTAAGTATAGCTGGCGGTATTGGGTCTGCGCCTTACAGAGATGACGATCAGGTAATTACGCAAATGCTTATAATAATAATAATTAAATAACAACATACCTTAATTTTTGAAATATGCCAGATTCCTCCCAGGATTAAGAAGGACGAGCAATATTTTTGTCGGGACTTTAGCTATTTTTTTCTTACCCTACATTTTTATAATCCCCCCCCCCTCTAAATTGATTGCACAAATGAATAATGTTAAAAAAGTATAAAAGTCTATTATTTTTATATAGGGTCCTTTCGGACATTTATTTGATAAACTAAGGGTAAAAAAGAGTATCACACTAATTTGCTCATTTTTTAAATATATTATTTTTTTAAAAATGCAATCTAATCGATATTAACATATTTTTAAAGGGCGTATTCATATCAAGAGTAACGATCGATGGGCCAGCTTACAAAGCCGGTTTGAGAACAGGAGACAAAATTATCAAGGTTTAGTTTTTTTTCTAACATTAACAACCGTTTTAAAGAATTCACAATTTTATATAACTTTGCAAGAAAAAGATTTTCTTAATTTTTATACAAAATTTTAAATATCTATGTGATTATACCCCAAAATCTAGAAAATATAAAAAAACTATCAAAAAAAAATTATGTTCATGAAAGTATTTGGCCAAAATCACGAAAATATTTTAGAAATAATATTATTGATAAAAATTTCCAGTTTCAATTAATAATTATATATTTAGATTCCTCATCAAATTTGCAGTTTAATGATGTTTTCAATATATAATAGAAATTTTTTTGATTAATTAAAAATACTTTTGTAAAATTTTTAAGATTATATAGAAATCTATATTTATTTTATGTGTCGAATTATATATCATTAAATTGCAAATTTTACAGAGATTCTTAATATATATAAATTTCTATATTTACTTTATATTAATTGAAATTGAAGATTTATGCTAGAAAATTATTTTATGGCTTTATTGTTTTATCTTTCAACTCTAGGTCTTTTAGCTTGATTAAGTTTTTCAGTTCCTAAAGTTATGAGTATAACTAATTGACCACCTGTTAAGGTAATCAGTTTATCATTACCGTTTTCTTTAAGTGTACTTAACAGTATTTCTCTATTTCGGGAATTTGTCATCTCAGCCCAGTTTTGATAAATTGATGAAATATTTAATACCTTTGTAAGATCATTAGGACCCAATCCTATTATCGCACTTTCAATGTCTTTTTCTTGTATTATAATGTCATTTATTTTATTTATTGTAATTGATTTCAGATTATTTTTAATGCATAATTATACATTCACAATTATTAGGGTATAGGGTGTTAAAATTATTTTATTTTTTAGAGGTATATATACCATTTTATGAAATTTATCTATTAATGATTTTCTAAATATTTTACAAATTTAAGCAAAATTGTTTATAAATTATCAATATATTTTTTTAAATATTTCATCGGTTATTGAAAATAATTCCATCTTTATTGAAAATTAAATAATAATTGATAGTAAAATTTTACCTGTAAATTCTCATTTTAATTACACCTGATTTAAATATTTCCCTTTGAAGGTAAACAACTCTGATTTCACTGTCGGAATATCACATGCTAATGCCGTCGAAACTTTGAAAACCTGCGATAAATCTCTACCATTGACCTTATACGTTGTCAGATCGATTGCGTCCGAATCCATATTACCCAAGGACATAGTAGTTAAAAATCCTCCTATACCACCCAAACCTTTATCTCTGCCGTTAAACAATAATCTCATCCTAACTCCTACCTCTACCACGAACATTTCCAATATCTGTAAATTATATTTTACATTTCCACTTCAAACTTACTTTTTTTAAGTGCCGTGAACGTTAAATTGGTCATAATTATCAGAATATTAATAAACAATCTTTTTCGATTTAATTTTAAGACAAACTCTAGGGTTTTGGACTCAGGTTCTTATCATTTGAAATTATTTTTTGGTGGGAATTGTCCAAAAATTTAATAGTGACCGCTTTTGCAGATTAAGTTCGCCGCCCGGTTTGGAAATGTCTCGGATTAGTTTGCTATTAAAAATTAGGTCCATCATGTTTGTTCCATGTTCACAATATTGATCAAATTTAAAATATTTTGAACCTTATACCTGGTTAATAACTGCAAAAATTATTTTATTTTAGATTTTTAATGATTGATTTCAAATGTAATAAAGGAAGTAGCTGGATTTTAAAAAATAACCCTTTTATCTTAAAAAATTCGGTTAAAATTAATAATTTTTATTTTCATATAAATAAAAATAGGAAGATTTTTTTAAAAATTTAGTGAACATGAACGCGAATGCATTCGTCAAAAATAAAAGGAAACGTCATTCAACATTTTTTTCCACAATAGAACTTCTACATATTACAGACAGTTTTCACTAATGACATACCGGATTTATAAAAAAAAATATTTATTGACACCTAATTTATACACGTGGAATGTAAATTTAATTCAATTAAAAATATATTAAAATATCAATCGACTTTTAATAATTTTATACATTTAAATTTTTTTGGTTGTTACTTTAAATAATACTTTATATTATATAAAAAAAAGAACCGGCCTTATCAAAAGAACTAAGATCCAGGCCCCTGGTATTAGTGTTGTTAAATGGCTCGTTTTGAGCCGATTTTTTAAAACGGCTAACTCAATATTTTAGCCAGAAAAATATTGCCGAGGTCTCGAGATTTCGTTAATATATTTCTAGACCTTTGTTCCTTCTATGAGCAAAATCTTCAGGTTTGCGTGGTATTTTTCTGGATGAAATATTGAATTAGCCGTTTTTAAAAATCGGCTCAAAACGAGCCGTTTAACAACACTACCTGGTATATCTCTATTTACATACCGATATATAGCAAATAAAAAAGATAGCTATAAATTTTAATCCAGATTATTTTTTAAACATGCAGGATACCCCAGGTTTGGATAAATAGTAGATTAACTCTTTACTTTAATTATTATCAACTCTTGTTTATTCACTATTAATTAAAATAATTCTTTTATCTTTTTTATATTGTCGCAAGAATTTCTCAATAATTTTTTTTTTTTAATTATCCAAGAAATTAAAAAATATAGTATATATTTTTTGGATAATGATAAAAATGATCTCTATTTTATAAAAAACATATTACTGACTTGATATAAAAATAATAATTATTAATAACCTTCAAATATAAATAAATTTTATAAAAAATTAACTGTCAATAAAAATTGAATAGTCAATTCCTTTTTGAGAAAAAAATATTCGAGAAAGCATACCATAAATTTCTTATTTCAATTTACAGAAATAAAAGTAAGTATAAAATTGGATAAGGCTTAAATAATTAATATATCTAAACAAATATGCCTTACTCTAATTTATACAATAACTAGTTATTTTTCACATTATAGCGCAGAAATCTCAGCATTCACCATTAGATTCGATAAAAACTTCGATGCCTTCTAAAATTAATACTCCCAGTATTTTCAACAGAATTTCCCCTTCCCGACACAACAAAAACAAAAAGGTGAAATTTATTTTTCGAATATACTATTTATATAGCAGAGGCTTGTTTCAGAGGTTATAGTAACACTGCCAAGCTCATATTTGAAAAAAATTATTTTTCATGGAAAGTTCCTGGCCAAGCCTGGATTTTTATCTTTGATCATTTTATGGCCTGATCTAGAATTTATAAATGTGGATTTTGAATAATTTTGGGTGTTGTTATTTGTTTCAAAGGGAAAAATATGAGTTAAATGATTGTAAAGCCCTCATATATTTTTGCAAATTTATTGATGTTAAAAATTTTTTAGGGTCGTGCTTATTTTTTTACTACGACCTAAGCAAGCCAAGTCTGCAATAGTCATAAGGGAATTATTATTTTTTTGAAACTTATAAATAAAATCAAAATATTTGCATTAGGCGTATTCTGTTGATATTAACGATAAGTTTTTGAAAATAAAACTAATATAAAAGCTTATCCATGTATCTCTACTGAAAACAAAAACGGGCCTCGGATTTAGTATAGCGGGAGGTAAAATGCATCCCACCGCGACTGCTTCTATTCTTCAAGCCTTACACGAAACAAACCAAGATATTATCACTGATGATGTAATGATTTATTGTCTTAAATTTCTTCCCATTGTTATGATTATGAAGATCAAAACGATTTTATAAACAAAAATTATGTACAAATTTTATAATTCTTTAAAATATATTTCTCTCAAATATTTTCATTATTTCATTATGCAAATTGTTTTATTAGAATTTATGCATGCAGTATGTTACATTTATAGCTAATTTAAAAAAAATTCTAATAGCAACCAATCTACATATCAGACATTGTTCCCGGAGGTGTGGCTGATAATTCTAAACAACTGAAAATTGGGGATCAAATCGTAACTGTAAGTTTAATTTTCAAATCTAAAATTTACTCTTTATCTATTCTTTTGAGATATTACCGTAAATGCCTTAGCAATTTAATATTTTAAAAAAATTGTGCAAAACAATCTTATCAGATAAATGGAATAGATATGATGGATGCGAGGCATGATCAAGCGGTAACATTGTTAACTGCCAGCTTTAGTCCTATTGTACGTTTAACAATATCTAGGGATTTGGATGGTATTTCCGAGTAATTATTTTCTTAAATTCTAGTTATATTTTTTGTTACAAAAGGAAAAAATATGAAACGGTTGAAAACGTTTCGAAATATAATACGGAAATTTGTATTGATATTATAAATATATATTTAGATTTCAGTTTAATTTACAATAATAATACTATACTATTTTAGTATTATTACTAGTGTTGTAAAATTGCCCGATTTTTGCGACCCTTTTAAGTTTTTAACTAAAATAATATTACATAAACCTGGAGATTTTGCTCATAGGAAGCAGAAAGATTTCGGCCTCTGCCAAATCTTGAGGCTTACATTATATTATTTTGGTTAAAATTTTAATCGGGCCTAATTCTTACTACAAATTTTTTAAGAATCAAATTTAAAATAATTTTAACTTTTTTTGCTTATAAAATTAATATAAGTTTGCAATTTAAATATTAGAAAAATATATGATATTATTTTCAGAAATTTGTAAGGGAACCTAAAAATGCGTCTATTCAAATCCGCTTTTAATAAGATTTTTGCTCTAATTTAATTTTTTGCTTTCATGCTTTTTTTTAGGCCTAACTTGGGCAATCATATGGACCATGGATTGAATAATCCCTCTAAAATTAACAGGATACTTAGCGAGGAAAGATACATGCTAAATCACGGATCTCATAAATAACCTAAATGACTATCTAGAGGGAGATCATTTTTTTAAGAAAAGTTTATAAATCAGAAATTACTCATTCCTTTACATTAAATTCAGATTAACCTACTCGTAAAATTATGGACTAAATTATTCAAACGTGATTTCTAATAATTCTTGTTTTTTTAAAATAGCAATACATCGAATTTAAAATTTTAAAATCAAATTCGCATTCCCATTTATCAAAATCTTAATTGTAAATAAAAATAATTTAATTCTTAAAATTATGCAATGAATATATCCTTTTTTAAAAAATATATATTTATAGGATTATATTATGTATGTTAGTTTTTTTAAAAAGAACCTTCATTAAATTTTTAATTGTATAAAATTTTGTAAACTTTGACTCTTGCAAATGTTTTCTATATTTATTATAAGCGAACTTTTACATTTATGATATTTCCTATTTATTTATAGACGATACATATAATAATAATAAATGATCCTTGAATTCATGTATTTAATTCTATTAAATCATATTTATACAACCTATTTTTTTAATGGATATGAATTAGTATAGCTGAGTAATCACTCCAATTTCAACCAATTCTAAAAAAAAACGAAAATGGGTTTTTTCTAAAACTATAACCTACCTCCAGGGATAGGCAAATTATTTTAAAAAACTTTTTATACAGGGGAGTTTTTTCGGCAAGTGCCTGTTCATTAATCCATCTAAGGACATAAAAAGGCCCTGACAGATTAACACTAATTTTAACAAAATATTTAAATTAGAGTATTTTAATTTTGTCCAGTGTCTTTTTTTAAAATATATCTAATTTTTGTAAAAAATTAGTTGCATAAAATTTTTAAATAAATTATCAATTTTCTAGCAAATTTTTTTAATAGTAAATGCATTTCACTTTTATTACCTTAAAATATTAAAAGTGAAAATATATATAATGACATATTTAATTTAACTATTTTCTTAAATATCCGTAATCCAAATTAAATCAAAAAAACGACTTAGTAAAAAGAATACATATCAAGCATCAGGTTCAATAATTATTTTTTTCTTATTTTTCTTATTCTTCTTTTTGACCACTTTATCGCTATTGGGAAGCAGTAATTGATGAGTATTCGTATCCTTAACTTGATCGGGTGTTGTTGAGTCATCGTGATCTCCAGAATCATTTATATTTAATTTGTCTCCCATTCTTTCCGACAATATCTGAACGTTAGTGTCATGATTTTTAGATTTTTCTTTTTGCTGTTTGCGCATAATAGGACATTTGTTCAAATCGTTTAAGAGTTCCGGCAATATATTGGCCATGTTTTGCCTCATAGCCTCATTATCCGAGTCTCGTTTTGTGGATTGCATCGTTTTGAGCTATACATTTATGAAATTTAAGTAATTAGTTCAAAATTACAATTATAGTTGAATATTTTTTTTAAGAAAAATATATTAATATCAGATCTGCAGAGGTACCACCAGTCCGGATTTTAAAAATTGACATGGCCCAATTTTATATTTTCAGGCCCGGCCCAGATTCTTTTAAAATATAATGGTGCGAATCATGTACCAAGGCTTAGGGCCGGATCTGCAGTCTCTGACTAATGTAATATCGATTTCTTAAAATGATCTGTTACAATTTTTATGGTAATTTTCGAACTATAGTATAAATATATCTAAGGTATATATAAGCTAGAGAACAAGATAAAGATTAACTATCAAAATTTAATAGTGAAAATTAAAATACCTGAAATGTTTCCAAATTTCTTTTCATTGAATATGCGTCCTCACCGTCTGCATAATATTTTGGTTCTATTTCTATAACACTTAAAATATAATAACATTTTTTAAAATATGTATATGTTAGCGTCAATGCGTTTTTTCTGGCAATGTGTTATTTTTTTAACTTTAAATCATTTTACCGGAAATGTATGCCGTCATGTTTGGAATGTCTAACATGAATTTCAGACAATTTTTCCATGAACTTTTAAGCTTAATACAATTTATATTAAATATTCCATACATTTTTTTTATATAAATTATAAATGACTCAAAAGACAACAGCAAAATTGTCTATAATTCATAATGATAGAATATATTTCCGGTAAAATCAGATTTTTATATTTTTAAAAACGCGCTCAAAAAATGATTTATAGTTGTAAAAATAATACATTGCCGGAAAAAACACAGACGCTAACATATATAAATTTAATTAATACACAAGTTAAAAAGAAATATATTTTCTTTAGGTTCTTTGTGCTATAGTAGAGGTGGCTCCGAATTTCCTTAGATATTTTATTAAAATACAAAAAGAAGATTTTTTCTTTAAAAAAAAGGCATAGGCCAAAAATATTGGCTTATTGCCATATAGGTTTTATAACATCAAGGAATTTGCCTTTAAATTTATCTAAAAAATCGACAGTAGATAGGGTTACATATTTTTTTAAAACTTTAAAGGATAAGAATTGTATATTATTGATTTAAAATTATTTTCATTTTTTGGGGGGTTAATTGCATTTTATCAATTTTTTATTTATTTTAGAAAAGTTCTTCTTTTATCACATATAGTTACAGATCTAAAAACTGGAACCCTTAGAACTGCATTAAATTTAAAAATCTACTTTTCAAAATTTTAGGAACCAGAACCCTGTCCAGGTTCTTAACAAAATATAAAAGAGAGAAAAGAAAAAAATAACAACAAATGCAAGAATCCATAAAAATGTATATTGAAATTTTTACAAAAATATTTTTTAAAAGAATCTGTGTCTTTTGTCAGTGAAATGAAAAATATATATGGGTATATGTATCTTATAAAAAATACAAAAAACAATAGATATTATATCTTAGATACAAGTATTCAAACACTGCCCAATTTTAAAAGCAATTAATTTATACAGTGTTCAAAATCAATCCAAAAGATATAGGTGCATTTCAAAATCAAATAATTCATTATATTTACATCAAATAATTAGATTCCTACATTATTTGGGTCAAAAATTAAATTTTTTCAAAAGATAATTTAATTTTTGAAAATGATTGGAAAAAATGGAATAAAGAGTTCAGCAAGGAACTTTTTAAATATATTTGTATTGTATTAAAATAATTTAATTTTATATTTGAAAAATAAATAAATTGAATAATTTGTTTTTGACTTAATTAAGGATGTAAAGTGGCTAAAAAGTGAAGAAATATAATTCCAAGATTTGTAAACAGTCAAATTTCCTAGAGTTGTAGGAGATAGTACTGTTAAACGGCTCGTTTTGAGCCGATTTTTTAAAACGGCTAATTCAATATTTTAGGCAGAAAAATATTGCCTAAGCTTCGAGATTTCGATAATATATGTCTAAACCTTTATACTTCTGTGAGCAAAATCTTCAGGCCTGCGTAATATTTTTCTGAATATAATATTGAATTAGCCGTTTAAAAATTGGCTCAAAACGAGCCTTTTAACAACACTAGTAGGAGAGCATTTTTTTTAATAAAAAAATATTAAAGTCTTAAATTAAAATATTCTGTACTAATATATATATATTCATAATATTCTAGTTTTTACTTGAAGCCTAATGAGTTGATATATAAATTTAAAGCAGCTCTGTTGCTCTTTCTGACATGTAAAGAAACATATTTAGCTTTAAAACATTCAACCATTGCAAAAGAGGCTTGGTCCATCAATTTTTGAGCCAATCCCAAGCGTCTAAATGGTCTTTTGACAGCTAATGATGTTATGTGACCGTGAGGGTCATCTTCTGAATCTTCTTCCCTTAAATATAATTAAAAAAATTACCAAGGTATAATCAAAATGATATTTCTTGACTATCAAATGAAATAAGTTTTTAATTAATATATTTTAAATTGTGATAAAGTAAAGATTATAATTTGTTATGCAAAGTGTTTCAGTCTGAATAAATATTTTTCTATTTAAAAATGAAATCAATAGATTTTAATTATTGTAATACATTTTAGCCAAAACATAACCAATAATTTTTCCTTTTTCATCTTCTGCAACATAGGATAACTTGGAATATATATTATATTATGTTTAAATGTAATAAAAACTTGAGGCCAAGATAAAATATGATATAAATAATATTTCATCTGATAATTTTCAGGTAAACATAAAAGATTACAGTTTTGCATATTTATTAAATCATCAGGCTAAAAAATTGACATAAAATTAGCAAAGGTTTTAAGGTATTATCTACCCTGGCATTTCTAATATTCATTTTATACAAGAATTGTAGAATATCTGACGTGATATGAATAATATTTGATTGGCATATTACGATATACTGTCATTAATTGTCGCTTTAACAGCTGATTTATTTAAATTTTTTCATCTATTTATAATCATATGACCTTAGATTTGATAAGTTATAAAGATGTTATTGATTTTTTAAAATATTAACATGATATTCAAAATGAATCTATTGAAAATGATGGGTTCGGTTCATCCGGTGGTAAATATTATTTTATTTTAATCATATTTATTTACAGATATAACTTACATTAAAGAAATTAAGCTTAAAATCAGCCATTACCCACCTTTAAAGTAATTAAATTATACTGTAGTTCTCGGGTATAGGCTTTTCTTTGTCCCACTCCTTCTAAATTAAAGCCTATAGAGGTTTAAGCAACATTTTTCGAAATGTTGTGCCTACAAGTACGTGCGGCTTGCCCACAAACGTGTGGAGGGCTCCTCATATTTTTATTTTTATACCCAAATTAAATTGTTCCAATTAGATGGAAATGAGGAAAACCTAGCGTAGCTCTGTTGAATCTTCAACGTTAGAGGGCAAAAGCGCTATATATCACGTATCACGTAAAGATGTTATTTTTTTTATTATTTTTGATGAAATATCAAAGATCAATTTTCATCAAAATAATCGCGTGCCTCACAAGATAAATAACATTATCATTTTTTTTGCTTTTGCTTAAGGCAAAAGAAAAGAAATTATATTAATAAAATGATTCAATGTCACAAGAAAATACTTTTTTAAAATAAGCACTAAAATTTTATAAAGAAGCTATTTAAGTAAGAGATTGATGTATTTTAAATAGGTTCCAAATATTATAAAATTGGGTGCTATTCGATTTTTCTAAATAGGGTACTAATACATTTTTCAAGATTGTCGCTTTGAAAAGGAAAGTGCTTTAACATAAAAGCACTAGCTAACGAGGCCCCTAATACAGAATTGAAAGATTAAAGGATCGGTGATTCCGAATTCGATCCTCGATCTAAAAAAATTAGGATCTAAATCTTTTTACTATTGATCCATCATTTATTTATTTTTAATATTTTTTGCTTAATATAAAGATAAATAAATAAAACAATAAGTTGAATTGAAATCTTATTAATTATTTTTTTAAACAGCCCATATATTAAATTAGGGTCTATGAAAATTTAAAATTGTAATTTACCACATATTTTTATCAACATTTTGAACTCTGAATCCAATCAAAACTATTTAAAACAATGACATATAATACTACTTGGACTGACACTCCAGTTATTTAAATGTGTATTACAAATCAGCTAATGACATGCCATTTTGGTTTCTCCCACAAATTATATAGAGTGTCACACCTCCTGATTTTGATTCTATGACATTTCAAAATGCACTATATTAAATTAATCATTAGTCTAGGTAATTATTATATGTCATTGATTCAGAGCGATTTTAAGATAAAAATTTTTTATTAAAAATTGACTTGGTAAAAGGGCTGCTTGACTAAAGTTTATAAGCTTCTTGTTGATACATATTAAAAGAAATTGTTTTTGCTGATAGTAAATGAAAAAAAAAATTCAATTAAAGTATCGCAATTCCTAATTATATCCTAATTATCAAATATAAGAATATAATAAATTAATTAAATTGGGCTTTAGGATAATAAATCTAATAGGAATATAAAATTGACTGAGTGATATTGCCTTGCTAAAGACGATGGCATATGTTTATAAATATGAATGGATCCGATCCTTTTTAACATAACGAAACCTGTTATGTATATTAAAGTAAAAAACATAAATCATAGAGTTATAAAAATAAGATAACTATTTAGTAGAAATATATCTTCATAATGTTAAACTGTTTATTTTACTAAGCCTGGTCTGAATTTTTAAAATGAATTATAAAATTTTGTCATTAAATTATTTTGACTGTAATTTGTAAAATTAAATTTAATTTAAACATTGAGCATCCTGCTCTGAGCTTGACCGAATATGCAGCTCTGATTTAGAGACAGTCTTGGTCTTACACTTCTAAAATATGTAATTTTTTCTTTAGGCTGTGACCTAAACATCGACATTATTAATTTTAATAAAAAAAGAGCAAAAACTATTTTTAATGTATAAATAAAATAGTGGTCTAAATAATCTTTTCGAATTTACAAAAATTTATTAATTTTTAAAAATTCTAGATATTAATAAAATTTATAAAGTTGTTAAATTTTTCCTAATATATTATTGTTTATATTTTTGGGCAGTTTTATTAATCAAATTTGCAAATATTTAAAATAAATGGGAAGTATAAAAATAATTAGTAGCAATTATATATTTCAAAATTTACAAAATTTTAAAAAATTTATATTAAAAGATTTTGGTTATATTTATTTATAAAGTTATAAAAATTTACTAAGAGATTTTTTAAAATATTTAGGTCATAGCTCCATAAAGATCTCATTTTAATTTAATTAAGTTATTCTTATATAATTTTTGAACTATCGTCTGCTCTTTGGTTTTTATTTATTAACAAAAGAAATGAATACACTTAAAACTTCGCAAGAGATTTTTAATTGTGAGAACGTAGCCTCTGATATTTTCGCTTCTGATTTCAATCTTTTTGATCAAAATGAAAATCAATGGCAAACTAAAACAAGTAAAGTTCTTATCTTACATCAATAATTTGTTATAAATAAAATTTTATACAGAGAAAAATTATAACTTTGAAAATAGTAATCTATATAAATTTCATGAGAAAATGAATTATCTAATGAATGATCTTAAATTAAAAAGAAGAATTAATCAAAAATATGAACAAGAAATTGAAGAATATAAAAGAGACCTTAAAAATTTTGAATTAAAAATAGTATTATAATAATATTTAATAAAAAAAATATACATATTATATAAACAAGATTGAAAACGAAAATAGTTATAAAGTATCAATAGAAAATGAAAAAAGAATTAGAGAAGATATTCCAATTCAGAATAACCATAAAATCGAAAATTTAGAAAGAGACATTCATAAATTGAATGCTAAAAATGATTTATTAAGCAAGGATAATAGCATGCTAAATCAAAAAATAATAAGAATCCAAGTATAATACTTCTTATTTTGTATTAAATTCTACCCTTATGATATTTATAAAGCAAATGAAGGATGAAGATAGTTCAAAAATATCGGAATTGGAAACAAAAATTAGTAACCAAGAGGCATCTAAAGGAAAAATAAATAACGAACTTACACGATTAGAAAATGAATTAATAAATATGAACAAAATGGTGCATACGGTTTATGAATCCGAAAAAAATATAAAATTAAAAGGTAATTTTAAGATAACGTAGGAAATTATTTTGAATAAATATATATATTTGGTTTTATAGTCAAAAACTTAATAATGATCAAGGAGAATTTGGAAGAAAAATTCAATTCCCTCACTATAAAACATGAAAAATTGAAGTCCGATCTCTACAAATTGGAATCTGAAAATATAAATCTTTTATCCACCATTAAAAACTATGAGATGCATTTCGAAAAACTAAATGATAGCGATGAAATTAAGATAAATATTTTTAAGAGTAATGAACAAAAGGTTTGATATAAATATATTATATTATTATTGGCATAAATTTTTAAAATTAATTTATCAATTTTTTAATGGCTTACCCAGCATTAATAGCGCGAATTCGCGGCTACCTCAAAATATGCTATATTTTTGAATTAGTCGCGGAAAATTTTGTATTGGAATTCACACTAACTCTGTATTTAGGGTTAGGTGAGTTTAGGTTTTCCTGAATATTTTTATAGGCTGGGACAAAATCTCGCCTTTTTAAAGTTTAAAATTTCGTAAATTATATCTTACTCCTTTATAAATTTGTAATGGACCGGGCTGGACAACTTGTAAAATATTTTCGGCCGGTCCAAAATAAACATTTTCAAAAATTTTTTACTGAACGGCTCGGGCAGGGCGGGGCCAATTTTAGTTGTTATCTCTATTTTTCAATAGATAGAAAATATCTTTTCAATACATAAAGATGACGGCTCTTTATTCAATCTCAAACCTTTCGATTTCAAAAAGTATAATTAGTGCAAAGTGAAATGAGATACCACTCGATACATTTTATACTAACTTAATTTTTATATATTATGGTGAACATTTATGCCAAACCATATTTGGTGAACATTATGGTTATATAAATATCTATATTTACACGAATAATTATTATTTAATATACAAATACAATTTAAAAATGAAATTCTTTCTCACATTCACATGGTTATATTTTTATTTATACATTTTTGTTACAACCTTTTTAGATTAACTATTATGGAGTCGGAAGTGTAATAATTTAATATTTATATATCAGTTTTTTAAAATAGAAATAAAGGCTCCTAAAGTCCGAAGGGCCACCCTTCAGCCTGACCAGACCGGTGGTAACATCATAACCAAAATATGGGCCCAGCCCGTAACGTGAATTATTATTATTTCCTATTTTTCCATTTTTTATTGTCTGAATTGAATATAACGATCTATAAAATGAATTTTAAGAAAAAATAAGAAAAGTTTTTAAAAATAAATCAGGAGATTAAAAATATTTACTATTTCATTCTTATATTTTTTTATTTTGTTAAAGACATCATTAAATTATGAAAGTATTTGCTGAATATTTAAAATATAATGCGTAATATAAAATAGTTACTTTCTATAATCTTCCTTTTTTTAACATTCGGACCATGGGTTGGGTTCCTAGATCTATATAAATTATTATCGATAGCAGGGGGTTGGGAGTAAAATTATTAATTTTACAGTTCTAAGAAAAACTACTAATCCTTAGAGGATTCCACCCTAAAAGTTAAGATAAAAGGCCATTATAAAACACATATTGGCAATTCTCAAAAGAAAAGTAATTAACCTATAGTCATATATTTTGATAATCCCTATAATTTAATTTTACAGTTTGTTTTAGTTGAATGATAACTTCTTATTCTCTGATCAAATAATTTAAAATTTTAGTAATTTTTTTAAAATTATATATCATATATTATTAGCACAAAAAAATCATCGAATTATTAAATGCGAATCTCTCCGAGGAAATACTAAAAACACAAGTATATAATAATAATAAGAAGTAGAAAATGTATTTTATTATAATATTTTAGAAAGTTTTAGACACTTTATCTGCAAATAATAGCATTAGGCAAAAACAATATGACACTATATCTCTTATGAAAAACAATGAACAACTTATGAATGCTAAATTTTTAGATTTAGAGACCAATATAAAAGATTTCAGGAATAATCTGCAGAACGCTGAAAATAATCTGGCAAAAATGCAGTCAGAATACGAAATCATCATCAACGATCATATTTTAAAGGGCGTGGAAATGGTACCTCCTCCCCTATTACTAATTTTAAAAAGAAATATTTTTTTCTATAATATTACTTAGAGTAAAGAAATTTTAGGATTAAAATCTGAAATTGAGGAGGATAAAGCCAATTTAAAGATATTGGAAAGTATTAACAAAGATTGGGCTCAGCAAAATACGGATTTGAAAAATGAAGTTGAAGTGAGTATTCATATGCATCTTATTTTTTTTAGTAATTATTTTATTTTTTAGAAATATAAATTATTAATGTCAACTACCGTTTAATTATGATAAAATTGTGAGAATATCAAGTAATAAATATAAAAGAATATTTTAATTCTTATGTTTAAATAATAAATTTTAAAAATATTTTTGTTCCAGATTATTAATTGATGTTTAATTTTTAGACCAATAAAATAAAAAATTATATTAAATCTGCATTAAATTGGTACTGTCAAGGCCAACAACAGGCATTTCCACAAGTATTCACTACTTTTTTTGAAAGGAATGTTTCTTTGATGAGTTGATTACCTTGGTTTTTATTAATTATTGCTTTTTTTCAAAAAAAATAGTTCCACTAATTATGAGCTGATTTTTTTTAAAACAAAAAAAGATTTATATCGTTAATAAATACGATACATATCTTGTAAATGGGGTAGGGTAAGGAGTAGGACAATCTTAGATAGCTAGAGGTTAAATATTATACTCACAGTCGCGATAGTTTGTAAACGACTCGATTTTGGTAGAATTAAAAACGGCTCGATTAAGATTTTAGCCAAAATATTATCGTGTAATCCTCGAAACATGGCAAATAGAGGTCCAAACCTTTCTGCCATCTATGAGAAAAATCTCTAGGCTTACATAATATCATTTGGGCTAAATTATTAATCAGGCCATTTTGAAAAACAAGGCCTTTTAACAACACTACAAAATAGAAAGCCTTTGTCTGGATATAATTTATTTAGTTGTGTAGTCTATAAAAAGTTGTTTCTTTCCCGATTAATTTTAAAAAAAAGGATAAAAAAGCTAATGGAAAATAAATCTTTCAAACTCTAGCTATTATTTTATAAAATAATACTTAATATATGACTAAAATATTTTTATTCTCCGTTGCTTTAAATTGAATTATACATTTGGCCAGGAATTATGACTAAATTCATACATTCTCATTAATAATATTAGTTAAAAAATAGATATCCGTTAAGATTTTATAAACTTGATCAGCTGTTTAAATCAATTTATATCGCGCTTATTATAAAATTCAACGAACACATATTGAAAGCATGTATAGGACTCCGCCATTTTATAATAAAGTTATTTAAAATGCTCTGAACTTTTTCAAGAATATTCGAATCCTGTAATGAAAAATGATATCTCATTTTTTTTTCAACACTGACAAAAGCAAATCATATATATTTTTATGATTTTTCATTATGGCCTGATTTGATACATTATTCATTCAAATTATTTACAACTATTTTTTCGAATAATAGAAAAAAGACTAAAATTAACTTATGAGTGCAAAATTTATTATCTGCGGACAAATTATAAAGTGTCATAATCAAATCACCAGCGTTTCTCTGAAACATATGAACGTTTATAAAACATTTTGTTTCTCGATCTCATTATTAAGATATTCTTTTAAGATGACACAATAATATTATCAGTTTTAAAATAATATATCTACTGAAAATAGGATCAAAGAAATATAAAATCTAGATAATTAGCTATAATAGCATTTTAATCGATCTTTTTATAATATCCATATTATTGATCAAATATACTTTTTTTTCTACAAAAGTTTTTTATTCCACAATATTTATATTTACTTCTTTTTCAAAAAAATTAAACTTTACAATAATGTAGAAATTATTTGGGGAAAAAATTACATATGATTTAATACAAATCAAAATAAGGCTTTGATAGTAGTTTATTTTTATTATAATTTAAATTTATTTTAAAAAAATATATTTCAGAGAAATTATGGCTATTGGCTACAAAAAATAAGAATAATCATTAAAAAATGACATTCGTCATTTCAAATTGATTCGTATTAAAGCGGTGAAAGTGCGAAATATACAATTATTATAATTAATATATCCAGGAATATCGCGTATAATATAAGATTGATTAATAATTACCGCCAAAGCCTCCTCCCCAACTTTTTTGACTTTGACCCCCACCTCCTCCCCAACTTTTCTGACTACCACCGCCTCTGCCTCCTCCCCAACTTTTCTGGCTACCACCGCCTCTGCCTCCTCCCCAACTTTTCTGACTACCACCGCCTCTGCCTCCTCCCCAACTTTTCTGGCTACCACCGCCTCTGCCTCCTCCCCAACTTTTTTGGCTACCACCGCCTCTGCCTCCTCCCCAACTTTTTTGACTACCGCCCTGAGATTGGCCTCCTCCTCCCCAGCTTTTTTGACGACTTCCTCCTTTAAAATATAAAATATATATTATAAATATATAATATATTATATATAATATTTTTTTTAGGGAGGTTAAAACAAATGGATAATAATTTATGCTTGCGTTTATATAAAGAAATCTTAGAGACGACCTACAGGTCCAGCCTATGAACCCGACCCGGATCAAAATGGACTAAAAATGGTATGAATTTCCAAAAATCCGAGGCCGTGCTGGGCCGATTTTTTTTTAAAAAAAAATTAATTTGAATTCCAAATTATTCAGTTAGAAAATTTATAATAATGGAGCCTTTAATATTTATTTAATGCCTTATATTTTTCAATTTTCTATTTTGAAACAATTTGCATAAATTACAGTCAAAATTTTTATAAAGGAGGGATACTTTTTTGGGATGACATTTCTCCCCATAAATTTTATTGGAGGACTTGGGCTCTCTTTTTATACTCTGATTTACTTTTCAATTAATCAATAATATACGATTTAACTGTACAACAAAGATGGACAATGGCATCATAATACATTCTTGCTTATAAAAGGAAATTAACTTTGGATTTTACATTAATTTGAACTTACGCATATTATTAAATGCCCTTTCTGATCGATTACTGATTTTTTATTTTGTAAATCAAATAATATTATTGTAAAAGTTTGTTAAAAAAAATCGTTAATTAAGAAGAATGAAAAATCTTTCTACAAATAAAATCTAAAAATTACTCAGGAGTTGCATAAGGTAATAATATATAAAGGATCAATCCAGAAAGTTTTAAACCTTGGCCACCACCGCCCCATCCACCACCACCACCACCCCATCCACCTCCACCCCAGGGGGATCTTCTTTCTCTGCTAACTATGTTGTTTTCCGTCAATTCGTCCGTTGGCCCATTTAGTTCCGCGTTTACATTCGTGAATAACAAACTATTAATTATGGTTGCGGTTATCATTCCCTAATAAATAAATATTAAAAAATTCATAGAAATAATTTTTTTTTATAAATTTACAAGTAAATATTTTGATTGGTATTTTCAAATAGAGTAATTCATTAAATTATTATTGTAAGTTAAAATAAATAAGGATTTTATTTCATCCTTAAAATACCATATAAAAGACTTTCTTTTTTTCCCATGGCATTTAAACTTATAAGAGAATTTATATTAAATTACGAATCTATTCACAATAAAAATCTTGGCTAACTCAGCACTCCGGGAAAGTGGGGCTCATGACTTAACTGATATCTAACTCTACTCTCTTTCTTCCTAAGTTACCTACCTCAATATTAGATATCAGTAAATAAAATTGTCTTAAGCTGAGTGTTCCGAACCCGAAATTGCGGTTCTTAAGTTCAGTTCTGTAACCTCTGAGCTAAACACCTGCTATTCAAAAAGGGATGTATTTTTTTTTTGTATTTACAAATTTTAAAAACTTATATTTTAGAAAGAGAAGTAGCCAGCCATCAAATACATTAAATCATATCTATTAGGGACAAGTTTTCATTAAAATGTTTAATCAAAATATATTTTATATGCTTATATTTTATTTTTCAGTAAGTTATTTGATAAATTTCGATTATATTGATATTAAAAACGAATAATCCTTTTTTCATTGAATCATATTTTTTCATCGATCGAATGCGAATATATTTTCACCCTCTAATAAGAAATAACATAATATTGTATTTATTTAAAAATAAATCCGAATATTTGTGAGGTCTCAGTGGAATGGAACATTAATTTTAAATTTTTTTTAGATATTTGCTCCTATATTAAAACCAGGCAATTTTATTAAAAATTTTGTACGATTACAAATAAAACGTTCGCCAAAAAAAAATATATATAAAAAGATAGCTTACCCAACATAAAAATTTAATAATCATCATAGAATTGGATTTCATTTTGGTAAATATTTTTTTCTTTCTTTCTTTGATATTTAAATATGGAATGGAAAAATAATTGCTTTTTTTAACCCTTATATACCCCCCTTATACAGAATTCTCCGAAATGTAAATGCTTACCTTGATATATTTTTTAAAAGGAAAATTGAAATATCTTTTTTTTTTAAAAAAAGGTGACTTTCTTTCCTTGAAAATCTATAAGTTTAAGACACAATCTTTTGTTTTCAATTTTTTTTTCATCTCAAAAATGTGATTTTTCATTGTCAAGCGTATTTTATTTATTTACTATATAATTAATTTTTTTCAAATTTAATTTTTTTTTTACACATTCTATTGTATTTTTAAAATTTATTTGAATTCGAACCTTGATTGAATAATAAATGTCGATAAATTATATTAAATAAAAGATATTTTTTAATTGATAACAAATTGATTAAAATTTTTGATTAAAAATTGCAATATATACTATCGAACCCAAATCCATTAGTATATTTTAACCCATAAATTTAATTTATTAAAAGTATATTATTTTAAAACTAAAGGTTGTGAGGTTGTATTATACATCTAGAATTCATTTAGAAAAAAAGTCCCAAGACCTATAATACTTTCTTGCAACTTAATTTTATCCTTAAATCCCTTTTTTTTATCGGATACTATAGATTCTTCTACTTAATACGACCTATCTACATTCCACAATTTAACACCAACAAAATACTTTCAATCGAAATATTCATTAATCAATGGGATAATTTTATGATGTTTAGTTATTTTTTATTTTGTACAAAAATATGATATGAATATTCCCAAATGAGGCATTTAGGAAATTAATTCAAACTGATTTAAAATCAGATCTGGAAACCGAACCTAAAACCTTTTATCCATGGGAACTGAGATAAATTTAGGAATCCAAGACAGAACCCGATACTACTTTTTTTAAATTTGTAGGACCGGAAACAGAACCTGAACCCATTTTAAAATTTCCAGAACCGATCCTAGAAAAATGTAATTATATATTGTTTCAAAATATTGCGTGATTCATTTGCGAGTGTTTAATTCTTATTAAATTTTTTTCATTGCTTTAACAAAGTTTGAAACCGAGCCAGAAGCTGTAATTCTCTGAGCCAGGCTCAATTTTTAAGAACCAGAATGCCATTTTAATTTTTTTTAGTAACCTAAACCTCTTTTTCTTAATAGAGCCTAACCTCTTTAGTTCAGTTCCAAACTATGTTTATAACCGATTTTCAAGTGTGATATAAAAATAATAAACTCGAATGTAATAGGGTTTAATCACCTTCTTATGCTTCTAAAATGCGACCGGAAGTTAAAAAATTATTTTCACTTCTTACTGATCGATATAGCAAATAATTTTCTGGTTACAGATCGTTCTTCTCTTGAATTTTTTTAAAAATATTTTATTGTTACTTTTTATATTAATTTTTCTAATTGTGATACATAACAAATAAATAAAGAAAGAATTGGGATATATAAAATTTTTAAGAAAACTCGAGCTCCTGGGAAGTATTTAATTATTGATATTACGGACGGACTAGCTAGCTGACTTTGTAGGACTCTAATTCTTAGTGGGGACACTGTAATTTGGGTTTATTTTATGAGGTAATCCCCAAATTGGTGCTTTCTCACAGAAATAATTCTTCCTTTCGAAAAATTTCCTACATCTCTACTTTTTTTATGCGCTTCATTCAACAGCTATATTTAACTATCCTTTCCCTCTTAGGTATATATCAAAAAGGAATAGATAACGGAAATAAGGCCCAGCCTATATTGACGCTCATGTAATAGTAAAATTTGAATTCTAATTTACATAAAAATTTATAAAAATCTGAAAAATGAAGTTAATAGCGATTTGTTTAAGGTCTCCTGAATTGAAAATTATCCCCTCCCTCAGGAAAACTTATATTTAAGAAAATAATCTCTTTCATTTAAATATATTAATTACTAATAGACATTGATAATATCAATATGAAATGTATTATAAAAATTTATATGGGTTCTACATAACTTTGAAAAAACGACACATTAAGGTGTGAATAATAAAGAGGCAGAAAACATTTTTTGAAGCCAAACTTAGGATAATTACATAGGAAAGATCCAAATATAAACAGTGGCGTAGACAAGCGTCAGAAATTTCTTCTTTCATTTACCAAGTGCGTGAAAAAATATATGAATAAATAAATAATATACTTATTGATCAAATGATGTTAGCCACTTAATATATTAAAAAAATTTTTACATTTAAAAACAAAAATCAATGAGACGCTTCCCAAAAACGTTCTATTTAATTTGGGATCGACGATTGACTTTTCATATTTCCAAGTATAAAAGCGCACTTAGTATCAGTATTAATTTACTTTAAAAAAATCCTTAGCTCTTAAAAGTAACATATATATTGTAATCGTTTAACCAATTCATTTTATTTTGGTATCATTTTCCAAAAATTACAAACCTATTTAATCATTTTTTATGCTACAGCTATAAAATAAAAACATATATCAAAGCTAAGGTCAGAGACCCAATCTCATATTTTAAAATACGATAAAAAGTTTATTTTTGATAATAATTCTTTATATATTTAATTTATTCAATCTTTATTATTATAATTATTTTTAGTGTTTTTTTGGTGATGTAATCGATTAAGTCAAGTTGATTTAGTCAAAAACTGGAGCCAAGTTTTGGGTCGATCAAGTTATAACTCAAGTCGTGAACTTGAGAACTAGAGGACGAGTATTATAAATTAGTTATAAATAACAAAATATTAGTTTTGTACTTTTTTAAAATTTTTTACCGTAGACTTCCAACTTGAGTGGTGAATGCGAATTATATACTTGATTCGATTAGAAGACGAGTAGTTCTTATTAACTTAAGTTGTCAACTTGAGTCGGCTAGAGGACGAATATTTCAAATACACTATTAACTCGAGGCGTGAATACAAGTTGATTAAATTATATTTATTATTAACAACATCGAAATGATAATAATGAATTCAAATTAAAATCCATTCTTACCAATTGTTCCTTCTATTAATCTTCAAATATTGTATATTTATTTTATTTATATACACTAGTTGCAGGGTGGGGGTGAGGGTCAAGGCGATATTCTCTTCTTCGAAAACATGTATGTTCTCATTTTATAAATTAATTAAAAAATAATTTTACCACTATACATCAACCACTCCCCCTCCTCCCAAAAATTTTATGATATATATTTCTTCACTATAAAAAATCTGGAAAGCCCAGCCCGTTAGACTCTGGTAAGAATTTTTGCATATATAGCCCTGGAAAAAGAGAAGATTGAAGTTACCTAGAAATTAATTCCAAAATCATCATCCTTTTATTTTATTTTATTTAATTTTGGAATTTATATTTAAAAATCTGCTTAATAAATCTAGTTTTAAAAGTAATTTAAAAGGTCGTCGATGATAGATATTGATATCGAAGAAAATTTAAATCTATGAAAAAATAGATGTAGCGATAGAATAGAGCTATATTTTCAAATCTAGAGTTTAAGAACATTAATCAGTGGCCAAGATTCTCTTGGCAAAAGCTGATAAATTGAAGGGAAAACATGTCTGAACATGAAATTGATATATTATCACACAAATATTTACTACATACTATTCATTCAGGTAAGAAATATTAGGAATGGGGAAGACGGGGCAAATTTAACAGTGGAATATAAGCATATTTGATATTATAATATAGCCCAAGCCTAATTTAATTGAATTTGATCTATGATTTGTAATATGTTTTTTTAGAATATTTAAATTATCAGAATTGAGAATAGACATTAACAATTTAATTTACCTTAATTTATCCATACACTTTATCCCTACAAGATGTTAATCAAAAAGTGGGGGAAGGGGGGGGGGTGTAAAGATATAAACTTCCTTTTTATTTGTAGATCTAATCTCAAGTGAAGAATATATTTTAAAAGATATCATACTTTGGTGGAAATGACAGGAAAATGTTTCATCAAAAGCTATCAAGATTAGTTAGAAAAATTTTTTAAATCTCAGCAAGCTCTTCTATCCTATGAGGATTTAGCATTGTTAAGGCGAAGCGGGTGGTTGAAATTTTTTAGCACTCCTCACTTCGATGACCCCTTCATAGTCCCTAGTCACCTTTTTAACTTTTTTATAAATATTGTCATTAATAGTTAAAGCTATAATATAATCCCCTCTTTCAATCAATTATGTGTAATATTTTTAGATTTGTATTTATAATTAAGTAATGTAATCTTATTATCGTATTTATAATATTTCTTTAAATTCTCACTTGAAATAATCTAATGATTATTTTACTAGTGTTATTGTGATGTAATATCGGTTTAAATCTTGTTGTTAATAAAATCTATGACGACTATTAATTTTATAATATTATTTAGCATTTAGAATTAATTTCTTACAAAAAATCAAAAAATTAAACAATTTATTTTATAATATTATTTAAGCATTTATAATTTTTTCTTACAAAAAATCAACAAATTAAACAATTTATTTTATTTTAAGTAATAACAATTGTACAAAAATAAATAATATACGGAAAAAAATATATTTTATTGTCATTTATCCACATCCCAGTTATTTATGGATAAGCAATGCTTTAAAGTTGATGGTGCCATCCTATTTATTTTCGTCAAAATCACTATCTTGCTGAAGGCTTTCTCACTCGAAACGCTTGAATTTTGTTGAGCAAGAAAATCCTTTGCAATCAGTAAATGGTAAGATGGATAACTCTATTTTTTTACCCACCAATCTATTGTATTAATAGAAGGTGATGCTACTTGTTCATTGAGATAATCTTATACCTCCTCTCTCGTACTGGATATTCATAAGACTCCCTAAAATTATAAAAAATAATATAAAATGTTTTCAATTACTTTCTCAATTCGTGTTGCATACTAACAGAATACGGCTGTGTATCCATATCATCAAGACAGGCGCGTACACAGGAATCAGGTCTGGGGGGGGGGATAATATAATTTTTAAGAAATATTATTGTTTTTTAAAAATATCAAGCATAAATTTATTAGGACTAATAACTATTTCTAATACACAATTTTAAATTTATGAGAATTATAAAAAAATTATATATAAAGAATCACTTAAATGACCCAAAATAGAAATTTTAATATTTTGAGCCTTTACACAAAAAGTTTCTTAGGAATAATTGTATTTTGTATGTTATATATTTACAATGTAAAATCCAATCTTCGTTGGAATTGAGCTAATTTTTCAATTATCTCATCCTTGCTTGTCGTCAAATGCCTATGAATATTCAAAAGATCCAAACCTTTCAATCTACTTTCAGATGTTGTACTTCTTGGTATGTTTTTCAGAGACCTGCAGGCCCGACCCCCGGGCTAATCTTTAAAAAAAATCCGGGCCGTGCCCTGTAAATGGTACTTCTGCAGGCCTCTGTTATTCTTCTTAAAAAAGTGAATGTTCTCTCATTAGTTTACTAATGGGAAGAGTTTATAAACCCTTTTAATACATTGGGAATTTAATCTAAAATGTGTTTGAAATAATGCAGAGCATTCATAGCATTTTTTGGGACTATATCAACCATTGTTAATCTTTTAAACATAGTTATTCAGCTAGTAAGGCATCATAAGATACTTTAACATCTTCATAATAAAAATCTAACAAATATTTTTTTTTCTATCACCATCTGAAAAAGGTTGGGAAGGCTTTTGTGGAAGTAATATTTGCAGATTAGTAAGTGCTGCACGATGAATTAAAAATTCATTTACTTGGGTTATAATAAATTTATCTGTATTTAAGATATACTCTTCTACTGATCCTATATTAATGTTTTAACGATGAGCTTGCCTTGCTACAAGTTGAGGGAGACAAATATTAAACACGTATAGCTCTGCTTTTGACTCAACAATAAAATATGAAATTCTTCATCAACATTAGCCCTAATTTCCTTGAGTTCTGTTAAAATGCTCTCCGCTATTCTCATTTTCTTAATCAAGTCAATGTCATGGTTTTGAAAAGTAATACTTAAAATAGTTTTGGAATAAGCATTGAATCCAATAATTTTCTTGCTTCTGAGGAAATATTTCTTTCAGGCCATTGTGATATTTCAGTTATAGCAAATAATTGGCTCTTCTAACTCCTTAAAAGCTGTTACAGCTTGATGGAAGAGACTCTATCTCGTTGGACAAGGTGCAATTTCTTTTTCCCTGTTAAACAAGAAGTTTCAGAAATAATAATAATTTGACTAGAAATTTGAAAATGGTAGATAAATATTACGCCACTAAAAATTTGAAAATAATAAGTAAATATTACGCCGGAAAACTTGAAATCTAAATTAATTGATAAAATAACTTAGATAAATGTGATAATAAATGTAATTAAATATATAAATTAATATAAACAATAATATTTTTGAAAAATATATCCGGCATCTGCATTTTTTGGCTTTGGAAGGGGGGGGGGATTTGTCCCCTTGCCCCCCCCCGCTGCGTACGCCAATGCATCAAGAGTAATTCATAGACCTTTGATTTATGCGATGGAAATTCAACATATTTATATAATAATTTAAATTTTTCCAGATATTCTTCTAACTATTAGGTTAAGCATATATTTAATTTTAGTAGAATCAACTAATAAAGTTAGAAGCTGTTTGCCAATAAATTAAAAAGTGTAGATTATTTATAAAAAGATATATATTTTATTAAGGTGAAATTATTTTAACGTTAACATCTTTTTTATTATCATTTTCATCGGGTATATATATCTTTTTACAAAACTAAATTAGAATATAAATAATAAATTAATAAGAAAAGTTAAATCCATAACTAAGTCTAACCAAAAAAAAATAAAATCCAAAAATAAGAATGTTGTTATATTCAAATATGCAACAAAATGATATGATATATCTTCATCAACATTGAAGGAATAGCTATGAGTACTTCTTAAGTAGTTGTAATTTTTTTTTTATTCTCCTTTAAACTACTTGTTTTGTTTGGTAAAAAAAACCCCTGGGAAAAAAACCCCGAAAAAAAAACCTCCGGAAAAAACCCCCGGAAAATACACCCCCAGGAAAAAAAACCCACAGGAAATAAAACCCCCGGAAAAAACCCCCAGGAAATAAAACCCCCGGAAAAAAAACCCTTGGGATTATTTTTATACACTCTCATATTTAAGTATAATCTAGCAATAATTTATATTGAATTGGTATTTAGTCAATTGCAAGTTAATAATTTGTTAAAAATATTATTGTTCAGCAACTAGTTAAATGAACAGATATTAAAATGTATTATCACCGTATATAAAGACAAAAAAAAATTTTAATTTACAAAAATATTTTATTCATAAAATTTATATATGATCGCGGTTAAGAGTATCATTGGTATGATTATTAATATGTTTAATAATGTATATTTATTTTTTCAATTAGGGGATCACATCGTAATTAGAGGATGTTTTTACCATTTGTGTCAAAGTACCCATAGAAAAATTCAGAAGCTGGGTCTGGAAAACGAATACAGGACCGATGATACTCTAAGTTTTTTTTGTGGTATGATAAACGGCTTAGCATTCGTTCCGTTATGTGATATGGGCAATGCATTGACATTCCTGAGATCGGTTACTCCGAGCAATGGTAAGGATATTCTTGATTATTTCGATAAAAATTAGTCAATGGAGTATCAAGGGAGGTCATAAGAAGCAATTCTAAATCCCAGACACGTCGAATTGAGCCTCGATTTCCTCCAGAAACCTGGAACGTGAATCAGAGCACTCTCTCAGATGAAGAACGAACAAATAACCAATGCGAAGGTTGGAATCATCGTTTTTCTAATCTGGTTGGGAATAAACACCCATCAATCTGGGTACTCATTAAAAAAATGAAATGCGAGGTGGCTGCCGATGAAACCAAACTTGAAAGATGGCGCGTAGGTAGTTGGACATCGAAATCAAAATCGCAGAGTTCTAACAACCAGATTCAGCTAAAGAAACTTTGCGAAGAATACCGTGATGGGGTGCGAAGCCTTCCAGATTTTATAAAAGCGATTTCCTTCAATATTCGATGTCAACCCATATAATATTATTATAAATTATAAAATTTGTATATACATAATCATGATTTACCAATAAAATAAACATTTCTTATTATGTCAAATTTAGTCATTTAATATCATATTTAAAGATGGTATTATATTTTTACTATAGCAAAAATTTTTTACAATTCATAGTTATTTTACTGAGGCATTTTTTCCCAGTACCAATTTAAACATCAGTTTTTATTATTTAAGAATTTTTTTATGAAGAGTAGGCCAAATAAAAATATACCTATATTATTAGGTCTTAAGTAAATTCTATAAAAATGGGAAAAAATTATTGGGGAATTTTTTTCCGGGGGTTTTTTTTTCCTGGGGATTTATTTTCCGGGGGTTTATTTTCCTGGGGGTTTATTTTCCGGGGGTTTTTTTTTCCGGGGTTTTTTTCCCAGGGGTTTTTTTTCCGGGATTCGTTTTGTTTTGCTAATGATAAAATTTAAATTGTTTTTATTGTTTTTGTTTTGGTAATGACATTCAAAATTTAAATTGTTTTTTCTTTTATTTTGAACTACACTAATACTAATTGTGAATGACATTCATTAGTTGCTAATTTCATTATAAGAAGATTGAATTTGATTTATATTTTCAGTAAAAAATTAATTTGATTCTTAAATAAAATAAAAATGATTATCACAACTTCTCCTAATATTATGTCCAATTTTTAGAAAACATCAGTACGGATATTTATATATTAAATTTTAAAACATATCCCATTATATTTTTACTTTCTTAACATAAATTAAAAATAAATTAGTTTTTATAATTAAAATAAATGTTTTTGCAGGTATAAAAAATATTTATTAGATATTTTAACTTCAATTCCTTTATAAAATATAATTTACTCATAAATTCTTTTTATTTATAAAAGTAAAAAATTAAATTCTATTTCTTAGATGGCGTCTTTTAATGTTTTATTTAAAAAAAAAATTTTAAATAAATAAATTTTTAAATATTTAATCATTTTCACCTTATTCTACTAATTGTTTAAATATTTCTTTGCTACATTGTTTATTTTGATATTATCTATCGAAAATGGTAACTTTTAAGCTATTCATGGACAGTTGGGTTTTATTGTTATTGTATTGTTTTAATTATTTGGTATAAAAATAAAAATAAAGTTTTGATCTTTTCTCAATGCCTTTAATCATAGACTTTACCAGTGATTGATAAAATTTTCTTGCATCAAAACCGATATCCAGTAGTAATTTTTTCTTCAAGATTAAAGTATTTTTTGAATTTTGGGAAAGGATAATCTATATTTTTCTCATTTTCCAAAGAAATTTCGCTATCTTTAACAATCTCACACATTTTTAATAACTTGATTTATAATGCTAACTAGATTTATAATTTAAATTTCAAAATTAAAATAAAATAAAAGGATTATAATTTTAGATTTAACAAAAAATATATTTTAATAATTTTTAAATGTATTTATTAAGAATTGAAAGCTACTTCGCTACTTTCTAAATTAGTAGCGAGCTACCGCTATCGCAATTTTCTAAAAAAAGTAGCCAGCTAAAGCTACCGCTACTGAAAAAAGTAGCGCGCTATTTTAAAACACTGGACTTAAGTATAGGTATTATTATGTTAATAATTATAAAATAAAAATGTATAATATACTTTAATATCAAAGTTTGTAGAGGAGTTTGTTGTACCTTTAATAACTTTTTTACTTGTGCAATTTTGACATTCAGTTGTACCTTGTCCTTTTTTATATGAATTGTACCAATATGGGATTGATATTTATTGCTGAGGCTAGTGGGAGAGACTGAATATCTATGGAATAATAATAAATAAATAAATATATAATTATTAATAATTTCTAATATTAATTCACTACTTTTACTCTTTATTCAACTTCTATCAAATCCAAAATAATAATCAAAATATCGTCTGTAAATTAATAATCAAAAAATCATCGGTCAATAAATAATAAAATAATTTTCGAAGAATCCAAATTATCCAAAACTCAACTTTTTTGAATTAACAATGTATATATATATATAAAAAAAATTAAACAATTTTCGAAGAATTAAATATATAAAATTTGCATATTTGAATATATATATAAAATTTATAGAAAAATATTATGTTCAATTTAAGATTATTTACATAGACAAATTACCCCAAAAATATTATCTTCGTCTACCATTTATTTATGAATAATCACTTTTCCAAATTAACCTTCGAATTTGCATATACAACATGAATTACTTTATTAAATTTTCCTTCTAGAATTTTAAGATTCGGATTTGATTCAATAGAACCTATCTCCATAATTTGATCTTCACTACTATGAATGTTAAACATTATAAAAATTAAAAAATATTACACATAAAATATATCCTTTACTTATTTAGTTTTGGTGTTGTTATTTTTAATCTATCTATCTTTGTGACCTGTAAAATTTCCAACTAATTTTGATTATCAATATATTTAAAATATAGCGGGAAATAATAAAGAATAGAAGATTTCACGAAGAAAATAAAGTTACATTGTGTGATATGTAAATGCTTTAAACATGAATATTAAAAAGAATCCTTATCTGTATCTTTTTAAAGAAAATGAAAAAGATACAATATTCTTTTCAAAATAAAGGATCTTAGATACAGATACTAATATCTTATTAAAAATGTCAATAAGATACTGAGAAGATACAAAAGGATCTTGTATCTTAGATACAAGTATTCGCGGTACTGCTCAACTCTGGGGGGGAAATGAGAACCTTTTACCTTTTGGTCAGCTCCGATAATGTTAATTATCATTTCTTAAAATATAGATTAGATTAACTGTCCTTATATCAATCTATCAAAATCTGTTGGTAGAAATTACCCATATGGAAAACATGCATCAACTACATGCAGATGCTTATTCAAATGATTGTATAGAAAAATCTGATGCCTTCTTTCGGAAAAATTCTTCGCAAATGGGTTTCTCTTAATTTTTTTTCAATTCATTATTTAATGGATATCTTATTTACTGATATAAATAAAAATATATAACAACTCATGTTGGGTAAATTCAGAAAATTGTATTTGGATACAGATACTTTATAAAATTTTGTATTTAAGATACAATACTTTGAAAATTTTTAATAAGATACAAGCAGGCGCGTACGCAGGAATTTGGTCTGGGGGGGGGGATAATAAATTTTTTTAAGAAATAATATTTTTAATTAAAAATACTAAGCATAAATTTATTAGGATTAATAACTTTTCTAATACACAATTTTAAACTAATGTGAATTAAAAAAATTATATAAAACCGGCATTTAAATGTGAATCATAAAATATAAAGTGAATATAACCCACGATATGAATCACTTAAATGACCCAAAATTGAAATTTGAATTTTTTGAGCTTTTAAAATATATAAAGTATAAAAAATTTAAATGTTGTAAATATAAATTAATACACAAAACGTTTCTTAGGAATAATTGTATTTTGTATGTTTTGAGCTAATTTTTCAATTATCAATCCTTGCTTGGCGCTAAATGTCTATGAATATTCAAAAGATCCAAATCATTCAATCTACTTTCAGATGTTGTATTTCATAGGTATGTTTTTCACAGACTTGCAGGCCCGGCCCCTGAGCCGGACCGTATTTTAATTTTTTTAAATATACCCGGGCCGGGCTCGTAATTTTTTTTTTTTAAAATTTTTTAAGAAAAAATATCCGAGCCGAGTTGTATATTTTAAAACCAAATATTTGAAATCGCCATTATTAGCTATAAATATCAAAAATAAATATAATTTATTTTAAAAAATTCGGGCTAAGCCAGCCGGGCCGGGCCTGAAAATTTTTTTAAAAAAAACCCGGGCCAGAAAAAATTTTAAAATAAAATCTGGGCCTGGTCCTGCAAATGGTACCTCTGCAAGGCTCTGTTATTCTTCTTAAAAAAGTGAATGTTCTCTCATTAGTTTACTAAAGAGCTGCTAATATATATATAACCATTTTAATAATTGGGAGTATAATCTAAAATGTGTTTGAAATAAAAAGCATCCATAGCATTTTTTGGGACTTTATCAACCATAGTTAATCTTTTAATCATAGTTATTCAGCTAATAAGGCATCATAAGATATTTTAACATCTTCATGATAAAAATATAACAAATATTTATATTTTTTTTCTATCACCATATGAAAAAGGTTGGGACATTTGTTTTATAATACTCTTCTACTGATCCTATATTAATGTTTTGATGATGAGCTTGATTGCTGCAAGTCGAGGGGGACAAATATTTAACACGTATAGCTCTGCTTTTGACTCAACAATAACATATAAAATATGAAATTCTTCAACAACACTAGCTCTATTTCCTTGAGTTCTAATAAAATGCTCTCCGCTATTCTCATCTTCTTAATCAAGTCAATGTTATGTTTTTGAAAAGTATTACATAAAATAGTTGTATAATTAAATAATACATTCTAATGAGAAAAAAAATTTGGAATAAGTATTGAATCCAATAATTTTCTTGCTTCTGAGGAAATATTTCTTTCAAGCCATTATGATATTTCAGTAATAGCATTAATAATCAGCTCTTCTAACTCCAAAATAGCTGTTACTGTGGCGAAGACTCGATCTCGTTGGACAAGCTTGCAATTTTTTTCTCCCTGTTGGACAAGGAGTTTCAGAGATAATTATTATTTTATTAGAAATTTAGATAAATATTACGCCACTAAAATTTGAAAATAATAGGTAAATTACGCCAAGGAAAACTTGAAATCGAAATTGATTGATAAAATAACTTAGTAGATGAATGTGATAAATAAAATATATATATATATATATATATATATATGTATATATGAGATAAGAATAAATATTAACAAATATAAATTAATATTAACAATAATATTTTTGAAAAATATAATCCGGCATCTGCATTTTTTGGCTTTGGGGGGGGGGGGGGGGGGGGTTTGTCCCCCTGTCCCTCCCCGCTGCGTACGCGCCTGGATACAAGATATTTGATCTTTTTAAAATA